TGAAATTCCCCTCGCAGTTTAGGTTTACAATAATGCGAATGACTCATGTCATTTTGGTTTGACAGCACTTGATTCACGATCCAGGTGGTGCAGCTAAAAATTAATGTTGTATAGGCTATTAAAGATTCAGAAACTCCAGACAAACAATTTTGTGAAATGGTTTACAGTTATGGATACGAGAAGAAAGGACGACGTGCAGGGTTGAACTTGTGTAGGTTTGGGCCTATTCACACTACCTTAGTAACACGCAGGTGTTCATGGTAAACATACATGTTTATATATAAACGCAGTGCATGTTACCAAGGTGGCCTGAATAGTAGGATTTATTTTTTAGAGATGTGTGATGGAAACACAAGACCGACATTATTTTATGATAGAAACACACATTGCAAATATACTTGTTGAATTATGAAAATTTGTGTAAAAAAGGAGAAAGATTGCAAATTGCAAAGACTAAACAATTAATGATTTGGAGAAGTGCTGGCTATATGCGCTAATACATGTATTTTGATGGTCCTTCTGAGGGAAAATTATTTAATACACCAAGTGTTGCAGTTTGCTCTGAGTGCTGCACTTTTCTCTATATCGATTGTGATTAAAAGTATTCACACGTGTTCGTTTTAAGTTTTTTTCTGTTTTTTTTTAAATATAAAATAATATAGGTTTTCCCGGACAATTTCGGAAAATGTGCGTTTGAATTTGGAAAACATAAATTCAATTTGGCGCAGAGCTTGAGAACGACGTACATCCTGGTTTCTGTTTCGCAATAGCTAGCATTCGATTTCATTTTGCGTCAATCAAATGAATGAATGTGCATAACGTTTCATTTAAGGGATTACAAATACGTGATTAGGCTTTCGGTTTGACGTATGCGTTGCCGATTATTATGGATGTGCAATCCAATTCGCAGAAAATCGATTGTCTATTGTGACACAGGCTGAATTGAACATTCTTGTTCATTTGTTACAATTTCAATTCGCATTTTCTGCATTCAATTTAAATAAATTATACAGGCCTATACAAATCATGAAACAACTTTGATTCATTAATTAATGATTCATTAATTAATCAATGTATACCTTATTGATCATTAATGTGTTTGTTCTTATATACACAAAGGCCTATGTGAAATGTAGGCAAATGAAATGTGAAAATGATATATAATATGACCAATATGAAATCACTCAAAATAATCTTGTAGCCATATTATTGAGACGGTAAAGGGACACATCACGTGTCATGTTACATGGGATCTGCATGGGGACTTTTTGACTATTCAATCATTCAATCAACCATTCCTCAACTGTTACTTTAACACATAAATGAATTCCAATGCTTGACCAGGCATACGTTAAATAACACGGCGCGGGAAATCGGCTGCACATTTAGCGAAAAAGATTGATGATAAATTAAAAGGAAAACAGGATTGCGGATGGGCCTTCGATTTCGCGCTAAAATGAAATGTCAATACACTAAATGCAGTGCACATTCGGGAAATCGTACGCTGATTTTTTACAACTGAATGCACTGTCACGGAAAAAGAATTATCATTTGTTAAATAGAAACAGAGATTTGGAACGTTAATTCTATTTCGCACGAAAACGAATGCTTCTTTTACAAAGTCGTGTACACATTTTCCGAAATTGTCCGGGAAAACCTATAATTATTTTACAGTTGTGTCAATCAAACTTGATGTTATTGCCGAAATCAATGTAAATAAAATTGTCTCTTTAATTAGGCCTATATCTCGGCACAAGGCTTTCCATTGAATTTGTGTTTTCGTGATTTTCATTGTAATTGCAGGGAGTCAAAAAGGGAAGTCAGTTGCATTTTCTCCTTTTTGGGGGGGGGGGGATGGAGTTTATAGTTAACATGTAAATTCAGTATTTAGTGTTTGGTCATCCGTGGGCCATGGGGTACATCCGTGTCGAAGATTGGGGGTGGATATGACCCCAAATCCTCCACTTGTAGAAATTCGGGGGCGAAAGGGGGGGGGGGGGGGGGAGGCTGGACACACCAGATGACGTTAGGGGGCTCTGTTTATGGTAGCCTATAAATATATTTTCCCAGCCAATTTCCTGAAATGTTCATTCACTTCCGAAAATCGGTCATTCATTTTCGTCTGAATTTGAGAATCGCTCTCAACACGCGTTTCATGCATTTCCGCTATCAGAGCATTCGATTTCATTTCCATTCAATCAATTAAGTGACTGAGCAGCACATTTCGTTTATGCTCATTCAGATTCGTTTACAAGACTTCCTTTTCGCTTTTAGAGGGCGATTTCAAAAATTAGTCATTTTATTTGACTTTTAGTTTAATGTTATGTGATGCAATCTGCTAATGTTTGAATGCTTAAGTCATTCACGAAATTGTATTCCAGAACTCTGCGCGAAAAGGTATGCTCGCGTAAATGAATGCACAGGTAACGTAATTGGCCGTCTGTTTCTCAAAACCAAATGCACGGACAATGAAAACGATTGAACTTTCGTTGAATTGAAATGGGATTAAAGACGTGCATTCAAATTCAGACGAAAATGAATGACCGATTTTCAGAAGTGAATGAACATTTTATGAAATTGGCCGGGAAAACCTATTATGGGCGCTATTTTGCTTTTGTCGCACAAGGAACTCCTTGTCAAAAGTGCATATGAACAGTTTAAACATAACTCCTTCAAAGTTACCCACAAAAACAGCTTCGAAAAAACTAGTGGCGACTCGACTGCTAGTGTCCAAACAAGCTGTTTAACATGATAAGCAAGTAAAAAGTGGAACTTACTGCAAGAAAATAAAGAAAAGTTTGATATATATTTGTACACAAAGCTGTAGAGACACTTTTGTTCTGCTTTGAATGACATCACGCTTTGGCTCATGAATATCGAACTGTTCAATAGCATAAAAATTAAAATGTTGAAATTTATCCCTTTTACTACTACAAAAGAAGGTTGAAAGTCATAGTAACATGGCAAGAAAGCTGTTTTTTATCTATTTAAGTAATACAATTTTTTTTGCAGGTTCCCTTTAATAATTGAATTCAAGACGGAAACCACTGTCAGAATGTGTGCTTTCAATATATAAGAAACAGGTTAGCTCTTTTTTTTTTTAAATATTGATGGGATTTTTGTATCCTTTCCCATGCTCTTCATTCAGTGGAGGTGGGAAAGTCCACGTTTCATTGTACTCAATGGGTGTTCAGTTTGCATCACGTGATGAGTGGTAAACAAGTTTGTGATCGTTTTATTGAAATAGACATAACTTCGGATTAGACAGTGCAATTTAAGTGAAATGTTCACACTTAAAATCCCATAAGATGTACTTCGTCCCATAAAAAAAAGGGCGGCAGTCGCTTCCCAAAAGTGGAGGACATACCTATTACGGCATGGAGCGGGCCCCGAAAATTTTTGGATTCTAGATGCTTGCTCTGTGGTGCGATCTGAGGCAATTTCTGAGCACTCAAACCACTTTTGTGAGCAAAAGATAATCTTTTAAACATTATTTTTTGAGTTTGGAGTCATTGAATCAGCTACTATAGAATCATTATGTAGGCTACAATTTTTATTCGGGGATAGAAAAGTGTGGGGGGGGCAACGATATGATATCCGCCACTTAAAAAAAAACTGGGGGGAGGACTTCTCTCCCATCGATTTACGCCCATGAAAATGGAACGCGCCAAATATTTTGAACACATTTTTCAAATTCGGTCACTTTCTTTTTAACTCATCCTATAGTTGGTTCATCCGGTCACGGAAGATGAACCGGCACGTCGATTCAGTTCGTAGATCCAAAATACATGTACATGCCAAGAGTGCCGCCATTGTGACAATCGAGATGATCCACGCAAGTTGTGGTGTGCTTGCGGGACGTCTGGAGGTCCCGCAAATTTAAGGGTGGTTTACGGGCACACGCAGATTTAAGGGGGCTTAAGTGAGGGTTGTGGGGAAGTTGCGCGCCCGCAAGCATTTACGGGTGCTTTGTGAATAAAGACCCAGCCCCTTACTGTGCAAGGGGTAATAGAATAATTTCAAGGCTGATAATTACCATTGTCGAAGCTAATGTACATAATGTATATTTGTCCAACTATTCCAATTAATAATTTTCTTGAAACTTTACACAATATTATTTATTCAAAGGAAAACAATCTGGCACAAAATGCAATCAGATTGACGTTAAACTAAGCCTAAAGACCCTACATATAATGGTCCTTAAGTGATGTCTCCATAACGTCATTACATACAGGTGACGTGGCATAATTTTGAGTGGGAATATGACTGAGAAAGTCCAATATCTAAAAACAATTACGAAACCAGCTACAATTCGAAACTAGGTATGTACATAGAAAGGGATGTTGTATATGAAAACGTTAACGTGACTCGTGATGATGTCATCACATGATTTTTATATGGATTAAAAATTTCATTTGCAGTATTTTTGGCATCGTTTGAATAACCTTCACTTTATCGGACAAATGAAACATGCTAACAGATAATTCTTCCCGTAACGAAGTTCGGTAGAACATGTATACATAATTGTGACGAACATTGTGACGTCAGCATCGGATGCCATAAAAATGACGTATAATCGTCATGTTATTTTATAGTTCGTACATGGAGTTGATAATGACTGCAGAGGGTGCATACCTGTTCCCCAATACCTATGTTCCCCAACCCTACTACTAACCCTGACCATAATGTAACCCTAACCCTAAACCTAAGGATTTCGGGGAACATATATAGGCTTTGGGAACATAGGTATTGGGAACATAAGGTAGACTCCACTGCAGATAATCAATAAAAACAATCACAACTCCTGGGGAAAAAAACCTATTTGTTTATTGAACAGACCAGACATAGACCAGTTTTGATTTTGTTGTTGTTTTTTTCGTTCATGTCACACGACTTTGATTCTGAAGGGGGTCAGGGGCACTGGAAGCATTTAAATCCTGTAGGCCTACGTTGTACACCACCGTGATACTCCCCTCCTATCCCACTTAAAAAGTGCTCACCTCGGCATCTAGCTTTTCCGCCAATATCCCCACAGCAACGCCAACGGCGAAGACAACCTGTAAAAAATATATTCCAGAAAGTCCAGTGTTAAGTCTTTCTACCATTACACTCATGTTCCGTGTATATTAAAATTTGAATGAAAGATTGAAACGGATCATGACACCAAGTCTTCTCTTTAGTTTGCTAAATAGGCCTACACAAAGGAGAGAAGAAAACCATCCTCGAAATTGGATGGATATGAGAACTACAATGCCATGAAATCACTTATGAAAATCAATTACATATTTTTTTTTTATCAAGCGGAAATAAACATTACGGCACAGTTGCTGCACAGCCACATACCAAGTAAACAAACAATCCCATGGTGTGATCTCGGCCAACTCAGCTCAGACGCTGCTAATTCACAGTAAATTGTCGTTCTGTTATATAATTTACAGCAACTTAATAACTGGGACGTACGAGTACACCAACAGTTACTGAAAATTTCATATGGCGCAATCGAATTTTATAAGGGAAATCACATTGCTGAGTCACGAACAGGCTTTAGTCCAATATGAACCGTTCCTTGCTCTATGGTTGAACAAACAACGTTTTTCCCCAGTCTATTTTGGCATCCCGCTCGTCATGATGATGTAATGTCCCAAATTGGCAGTGACATTACATGAGAGGGGGAAATCCAAAGCACATGAGCCTAGTAATGCTTTATTGATGTTGGTGTTTTTTTAATATACAAACGGGACTCATAGTTGACTTACTCGAGTCAGGGTGCAGTGCGATCGTCACTAAAATAATACTGAATGTCACCGGCCTCATCACTGCAGATTGTTCTGCTATTTCTCGTGCAAATAAGTCTAAAGATTGTGAGTCTACCTTCAAGATGTAAATAAAATCCATCCAGATTCCAACCCAAATCTTAAAATAAAAAGAAAGAAAATGTGCCGGATTGGTACACTTGATAAAGGCTTTCATTTCCCTCATTCTTGGGGGGGGGGGGGGGGGGGGAGAGAGAGACCCGAAAAAAATTATCAACGCTTTCGTGAAACCCATTATTGACACTTTACTTCACTAGGTTATAATTGCCTTAGATATCTTAACGCCAACCGCTAATATACGTAGGGGTGCCGTGATTTAATTTAAAAAAAAAATGCTGTCTTGAGCCAGAGGTTTTTATAACCACGTCTCAGAGAAGGCAGTGTCCATCGTCACCAATTTGCCTTTCTTCAGTTCAAACACTCTTTGAAAACATCGAATAGATAATGACCAAGCACATTAACATAAACAGGCAGAACGCTACTGTTAAATCATCAATCCCTAAGAATTTGTTTTTGATCATTTGAAGAAGACTGCAAGGGAGGGAACAGAAAGAAACAGTGCATTTTATTATTTTTCTTTTGGAGACGTACACATTTTCAGTTGTGTTATTCTTTGACGTCTTAATGAAGTATACTGTCCGTGCTCTTCAACAAAATCGGGGGGGGGAGGACGATTTTCAAATGTTAAGGAAAAGTCCCGAGGAAATCAAATTAAGCAGAGACAGGAAACACAAATACCGCTGTAAAACAAAGAAAAGCGAGAATAGAAAAAGAATTTATTTACTGAAACTTCAAGACTAAAGAAAACTAAGGCAAGATGAACCAAACCCAGTGCTGCACAAGACAAAAACAAACTTAAAAACAAAACCGCAGAAACAAAAAGTCTGTTGAGAAAAACGATCTCCAAAAGGATCCAAAACTAAATGTAGACTGTGTAAAAAACAAAGGAATAAAAACAGTCTAATGATTCTTCCCCCGAGCTTATTTTGAGATTATTAGTTTTTTCGGAAGATCAAATGGGGTGGCTGGTATTGTAAACAATTTATAATTCCAAAATAATTGGGGTTTTTTGCCATAAGTTGTTTGCTGGCTACGGAAGACGGATAGTGCCACTCAATAAGTCTGAATATATATTTTTTGTACGTGTGAAAAAAAAATTTTGTACAGCGGCCGCCACTTATTATGTGGCGGTTGAGTGGCACTATCCGTCTTCCGTAGCTGGCAGTAAACCATGAACCACTACAATGCGTACATGTCTTTGTTGAGTTTTCTCTTTTCCCCAGGGGCAATTGCAGATAATATACAACTTTTGCTTTTGCTGTAGATTTCAGAAATGGATTTGGCCGTTAGTATTTTACAGCAAATATTGATGCACTGACCAGTCTGACCTGTTTAAAGGTTTGTCTTCATATATGAAGTGATTTGAATACTGCGGTGTCACAGCATGATGAGGGAGTATGATCCCAAACTAAATCAGGATAAGTGTGTTGGAGGCTGCCCCAGATGGAATCACACGGAATCACCAGTTCAGTTCAATTTCAGCGATTAATAGAGAATTTATTCAATCATCAGCAAATCAGTAGAAGAACAATGAGTTAATCAGTTGCAGTTAATGAACAGATGTTGATCCCAAAACTTCCCCAGTATATGTGCTATGATGTGTGAATCCCGGTCACGATGCAAAGACAGATCACCAGGCAAAAGATCAGGTTGCAAAAGATGGCTCAATGCAAAAGATCCAGTATGGTAAAGATCCCCAGATGCAATAAATGAAGGTCTCAGTAGACCGCGCCTACATATTGCCTACGGAAAAATAAACAAGACAACACTGCGGTCAAAATACATGGTGAATGTGTACACACAATGGCGGTCAAAGGTCACACACACAACGCGAGTTCATACGCTGTGCGGTTCGCTGTCCCAAGTTATCGAATCTGATGGGGGCGGGCCCACCGGCGGATTATTAAGGGGGGGGGGACTCAACATGTATCAACATAAGTGTGGACACTGTATAGTTATGTTATCTTGATTCAACTTAACATGAAATTTTATTATCTTTATTCACTATTAATGTTTATCACACACTAACTGTACATTTCATTTTGTGTGCATCACTTAAATCTTAACATGGTTTCAGCAATATTAACATAAAAATGACTCGAGGTGGATCTGATGCTATAATGCAGGAAAGAACTGGGCTTAATTCTGAGCTCTTTAACTAGGCTACAGCATCATGTACTGTTCTTGTGAGTTGTCCTCGATCCTTGAGTGCATTAGATGCATACTCGTGTAGAAAGATTTCTAAGGGGTTACTTTGTAGCTAAACAAAGCATACCCAATTCAAGCGAACTGCACAAGTTGTTTTGAAACGCCCAAAGATGATGTCAGAACTACACGTTCCAAAATAGAATTTGTGGCACAATTTACCCGTTCTAAAGTAAAAATTATAGCACCTATTACCGCACATTCCAAAACAAAATAAATATAAATACATGTATAGTCAAACTACATGTTCCATTTGTTAACTTTTATTGCTGCTATAATCTTTATTTTACGTTTAGTTGGGTATACGTGCTATGATTTCTTTTTGAAACATGTAGATGGTGACATGATTTCTATTTTCGAATATGTGTATGGTAATACATGTATTGTCATTTTTTTCACAGTTTAGATGCCATGATTTTGCTTTCAAACATGTACATGCAGGTGGTGATATGATCTTATTTACAAACCTTGTAGATGGTGATCTGCTGTTTTCTAACGTGTAGATAGTGACACAATGGTTTTGTTTGCGAACATGCACATGGTGATATGATGTAAATGGTGAACAATAAACAACATATCTTCATGTACATCATATTATCATCAACAATTGGGACTAACGTCTCTTTCGACTCTGGAACGCCCTTCTGAAATGGATGTAAAGTTAAACATAATAATGGTTGCCTTTTCTTAACAACAATGTACACTACCCTAACAATGGCATTGGAACATCATACAGGAGTCTCTGGTGTTTATCTTTCATTTTCTATTACACATGCAATATGCAACTTTCCCAACAGCTAAACAAATATCTGACTTGTGTACTGACTGCACTCAGGCCCGTCACCAGCCCCGAGTGTCAGGGGGGCCAAAGTACCAACTAGGTGGGCCCACTACCATAAAAATACACATGTATGGCTTTTGCCGTTGGGGGGGGGGGGGGGGGGGGGGGCATCGCTCGCCAAGGGGGGCCCGGTCCCACCAGCCCCCCCCCCCCCTTGATGACGGGCCTGCGCACCCATGGTGTACATATTAACCTGATACAATGTTACCTCACATTTAAAGGCTTACAAACTGATGAAATAAATGTGAAAAGGCTTATGGAATGTTTATACATCCAGCTTTATATAAGTATATGCATCTGAAAATGAAAAAACAACAACAATTAACTTTGTTAAAACATTATCGATGAACACGTTGGCCAAAATCAATTCGATTGACTAAACTCCGAACTGAAAAAGAAGATATTGAAATTTGATTCCACCAACCGTTGTACAAGCAGATTAATTCCATTAGCAAGATTCAAGGGATCATTTGAAGATTTCGACATCTTGTGACACTAATCTTTTCTCACCCGGACCATAAAGATTTAGGAATTGAAGTCTCGCTTTTCGAGTTTATAAATTATGCTTTAGCTATTCCAAAACTTCACAAAAATTACAAGTAGGTGAAAGCTTTTATCTGTTACTTTGTACAACAACATTAAACTGTCTCTACAAATCTTTCAACAAATTTTCACATTTATCATGTTGAAATTACCGAAAATTGATATAAAATCTACACACCACAAAACAATTATGCAAATTAACTGATACTTGCATGCAGTGCCATCATTAACTGATGATTACTTCAATGTACGTTTTCATTTTGGACTATAACCAACTGTTCTGTACAAGTTGGAAAAAAAAAATTAATCCAAACGATTTACACATCGCACAGGCATCAGCAGAAACAATTTTGAGGCTTTGTTTCAGTCTAGCTATTGCATAAAGAAGTGGCTGAGACTATCTTATGTATTAATTGTACATACACCTTGCACAGGTAAAAAATGCTTACCATTCCAAGATGATATTTTATCACTTGTCACACGGAGAACAAATGCAACAGCTCAAGACAAGAATTCACTCAGGCAGTATATGGTTCATTGTTTAAATTTACTTTCCTTTTTACATCTGACATCCTCCAAGAGTGATTATGAATAGCAAACTACCAATCCAACAAAGAAAACAAAATGAATTCTTAATGATATTTGAGAATGGCAAATAAAAAAAGTACCAAGGCAAGGCCAAAAAAAGAGAAATAGTCAGTCTCTGGTCAGACCGAAGTTCCGGAATTGATGCGGCGACGCATTTGTTTTGTTTTTGGGTGGCTTTTTTTTTCAAGCTTGTATTGTACAGACAAGGTGGGTACTATTTTGCTTTTATGTGTCCTCATTATACATTGGTGTCCTCCATAATTTGCCGTGGTGCCCTTTATCATTTGCCTTGGTGCAATTTCCCCATTCCTTGGTGCTCCTTGGTACAAAAATTTTAGGACGCGCGGCAATAGAGGGCGCTGTTGTACCTTCCGTGTTAATTTGAAAAAAAAATTAAAAAGTTGACGCGCATGATTAAAATTGACGCGCGCGCTGACCAGAGACCGAGTGGGACAGGCAAAATGTCGCACTTTGAACCCTACATTTATAGAAGGACTTATGGTGGAATCCGGCGACCAGAATTAGAATCTGTTACTGCAGTGGTGTCACGCTTACATGCATGCATTCTTAAAGACGAGGCTGCATGCATTCTTAAAGACGAAGTGCGCACGCATTATTACTAATTACTAATTTGGGAGGCTAATCATCCTTACTCGCAGCTGGAATGCTGAATTGCAAAGGACGCGGCTACAACGTGGTCGGGCCGCTGGCACGTAAAGGCACCTATGGCTGCCGGCCACATCGACCCATATATGACCACGGAGCACAGCCTGAGATCTAAAGTGTTTGATTTTTTTGGAGGGAGGAAAACCGGGGGGGGCCCGGAGAAAAACCCTCGTGGCACAGGAGAGAACCAACGCACAACTCTACTCACATGCGATCCGCGGCCAGGATTCGAGCCGTGGTCACCTTGGTGAGAGGCGAGTGCTTTACGCACACCCATGCCACCTTGGTATTCCTATTGGTCGAAGGAGTCCGGAGTGCGCACCTACTCCCCTAGCGCGACTTGCGCGAGCCTGATGCCACCGCAGAAAATGGCTGCCGCCGGATTTGTCTATTTTTTTATTAGCCTGTTTGAGATATGAGGGCCACAATAGGAGGGCGCTGTTTGGCTTGGTATATGCAAAAGAGTTTACCCAAATCAAACAGCGCCCCCTTTTATGCCTACCATATCTCAAATAGGCTAATTAAACGGGCAAGGTTGCAGCAGTTGGTCCAGTGCCAATAGAGGTGTATTCTAATGGAGGCTAGGGTAGTTGGGATAACAGTAGGAAACTGTACATTATCAGCCTACCCCTCTAAAGCCGTCTTCTGATGCCTGTATTTATAAAAAAAAATAAGATACTAGGTCTGTGATCCACTGTTCCCGACAGTGACATCTAGTGTCAATTGCTGATTTCCAGTCCTTGTCCATTTTGCACTCTTCTCTCTCTCTCTTCTCTTCCCAGCCATCACGATTCCTTCTTCGTATCCCCGTCAGGTTTCTTCTCAAGCTTCTTGGCGGAATCCTTGAGATTATCGACCAGCTTCTTCATATCTGGCACCTGCAACGTGATGTTGATGACGAGATTCAGGGATTTATCGAATGGACATCTTTTTGTTTACTTGTTTTTGTTTTCTGTTGCTTGTTTGTCTTTTTTAAGGGCAAAGGAAAACAAAAAAGAAATTATTATAGAATTTTTTTTCCAATTTCAATAACATTTATTTTCATCAAAAGCAAAGTAAAAGTATCATGAGAACAAAAAGTAGTTGTATTAGGAGGGAGGCATGATTTGAAAAAGCTGAAGCTGATAGGGACATGGCATGCCTATACTTAAATGCAAAACTGTAAAAAACGACTTCAAAGAATTTAAAGAAAACAGACAAATCAATCACAAACTACAAATGAAACACAAACAATAACCACAGACTGACTGACGAACACACAGACAACAGGGGTCAAAGATTTGATCTTTTTAATCCAATGCCTATTTGGGAAACATGTTCACTATCTTTGCTTTCTCTCCTTTTTTGTTGGACACGGAGATCTTAGTTTTTTACCTCAGCAAATCTGAACAGTGATTCCCATTTTAGAATAAAAATGCTACAAATTCCCATTGTACCTGGATGCTTGTATAATTACCTCATAATTCTGTGACAGGTAGATACCCACTGCAGTCCCAGACGCAAACCCCAACTGTAAAAAAAAAAAAAAAAATTCAATTTACAAAATCCATTAACTGATTAAATTTGATTCCTTTGATAGCAGACTAAAAGTCATCTGAATTCTGAACACTTGCACCCTGCGATTGTGTTGTTAATAGGCGCCTTTCTTTTTAGTCCTTTGAGTGTTTTAATCATTTTAAAATGACATCTGCACCCTTAACATAACAATAAGTCTTCTTTGAAAATTTAATCAATTTTTCTTACACATTTTTTCTGTTGATGCCATGCAAATCGATGTCATTTTAAGTACTTATGGAGAATCGCAGTGACTGCTTTATTTTCATGTTGCATTTGTGTCGTCTTCATCATTGTCTCTACCCTAAACCCCCACCCCCCAAAAACTTCCCTTTAAAAACACAAAACACTGCTCTCTTCTATTCCTATTGGTTTCAAACATTGCTAATTAGTTGGGTGAGCCCAATCGTGAAGGGCGATTATTCCATGGTCAAATTACCTAAAGTGGATTTTTAATTTTCGAACAGGGCCCGTAACTTGCATGATGTAATATAGCAAGTGCAGTTGCATGACAAACATGACAAATCATATGCATTTTGTCATGTTTGTTTAGGCCTGGCTATACGAACGATTTTTTTTTTCACTTACCAAAAAGGCAAACATTTTGCCTGATTTCAGTCAGTCAGTGAACACAACAATACAAGCAACCCAACGTGAAATACGTACACTAATAGTCTGAAGGGTTAATTTCTGCCCAATTTGTCAATATCTTGCAAAACTTTTCCACTTTTCCACATTCACACTGTAGCAGGACCGACAAACACAATTACAAAAGTGTGTAATTCCCCTTTTTTCGATGATGCGCATCATGCTGATTTATAACAGCGCCACCAAGCGTTTGTGAAGGTTAAAATCAAGATGGCTGCGCCCGTGAGACATTTCTGCCGTCAGTTTTCAAGGCTTACGTGCCTTGTAAGAAGACAGCCTAATATACAGGATATTGCAAGTTGTCACACAGGTCATCCTTACGCTGGAGGTATGAGAGTTGCTTTTTTTGTGATTATGCTGATTGAAGTTTACTGTTTGTTGCGGAATTGCGTGATGTCGATCGATGTGATGTTGTGTGTGTCACTGCTGTGTGGGGTGGGGCGGGGGATTTTCCGGGCGGGGGGGGGGGGGGGGGGCGGTGAATTCGCTAGGATGGGAAAGAATGTAGACTGAAGTATCCACACACCAATTCTTTGGTTGTGTACAAAGTCTGGAGGGTCGAGTACATTTTCAAAAAAAATTCTAACAAAATTAGAAATGGAGTAATTACAGAATACCCCGCCATGCGCCACTCGGAAATACACCCCTAAATTATCTGGCTACGAGGTTGGAATCACTGGAAAAGAAACAATTCAAGTCCATGCAAGCAACGCGGATACTGAGTGGGGGTCCATTATTTGAGAACGAAGCAGCAGCACAAAAGTAATGGGAGTTGCTGAAAAAAATTCTAAGTCCAAACCAACCACCCTGTTGGCGGCTACGCGGATACGGAGTGGGAGTCCCCTTGAATATGCTTGAGAACGAAGCAACACAAAAGGAATGGGAGTTGCTGAAAAAATTCTAAGTCCAAACCAACTACCCTGTTGGCGGCTTCGCGGTTACGAAGTAGGAGTGCAATGGAGCATGACGCATAGTACATACAAGTAGCGCTGAGAATGTTTATTGAGGTCAACCAACCGTGACCTCGTAGCCGGCTACGAGGTGGATAGATCGAGTGGCGGGGTATTCTGCAATTGTGCCTTATTAGAAATGAATGGGAGGTTAAATTTGCATTCAGTCATTTGTCAGTTCTTGACGTTTGTCAGGCGCGCGGCCGCGGGGCGGCTGGCCATACAAACATGAGGTCACCTGGAGGTCATGAACTGAACAAAGCATATTCAAAATCTGCATGGAGGAACATTTTCGCGACGATATTCGTGGGAGATAATGACTGAAAGTCGTCTTTTGGTCAGATGGATGAAAATTTTTGGATAAAAGAACGTTTTTTTCAAAAAGGTATGAGTTACTCTACGACTAGGAACCTCAAGTTTGGAAATTTCTGTCCTGGATGAGAAGATAATATCGACCAAAATCGGTAGCAAAATCGCTACATCAGAGTTTAGCGTTTACGGGAGCATTGGCTGTCTGGCCGTACTACAGAGCTTGCGATAGTACTGTACGGCCAGATGCAGTCAGGCTAGGCTACACCATGTGAATGAAATAGAAAATAAGAATGTTTCTCAGTCCAAGATTCATGTCTTTTTCAACTATTACTTTTTGGAAACGTAGAAAACCAAGAACTGAATAAGTAAGGTATTTTCATCTCTGCAGGCAACTGAATTAAAATGTCACCCTGAAAATATAATCATTATTTCAATATAATAAAATAAAAACTAAAATTATATACAATATGAAATAGGCTTTTTGTCAGGCCATTTTTTTTTTTACATATAGACCTACATGTATTTTTAATTGGCAACTCATTGACTTAAAAGTTGAGATTCTCTTTCAGAAAGTCGATTTTTGTATCTGCAAAAAAGAAGGAACCAGGCACTGGGCATTTTCGGTATAGCGGGCACCCCGACATCCATCTCAGACCTATCCCAATCTCAGTTTAGGCTGGCTACTGACTTGAAATGTAACGGCCAATGAAGAGAAATTTCTGTACTATTTTTAGCATCAGCAGGTATCGACATTGGTCTTCCAATCTCGCAAACGTCTGGCAAGGATGTCCTGAGAGAGAGATTAGCCAGGAACAGACAAAACAAGAGTAGTGCCGAGCTGGAGAAAGCTGCCAGGCATAGAACATGTGAGTAGATAGGGTCGCTGATATTTTGCTTCACCAGAAAACAGACGTCACGCTTTGTTTACTCATGCACTTTCCTATGGGAGCCAGGTGAAGATGAGAGCCACCAAGCTCCTAGATATCTTTTACAAATCTTTTTTGTGTAATTTGTTTTCCCCACAGTACAAGTCCCACTGGATGAAGTGAAGCAGGAATGGGAGCTGACCAGCGCCCCCTATCATCTCCGACGCATCGCTCATCATTACGGCATCTTCAGGGATCTCTTTGATAGGGCCGACTTTCTTCCGCAAGTCACGCTCAGGATCTCCTATGATGTGCAAGAGGACGTGACCGTGCCGGTCCATTCCGGCAATTTTGTGGCACCAACTGAGGTGAGTCGATTGGGTGATTATCAAGAATTTTTCACAAGTGTTTAAGTAATTGTTATGCTGACCACTTAGAAAAAAAAAACAATTTCAAGTATTTTTGACTTGGTGCATTATAGTAATTTCAAAGGTGAACAAAGAAATTGACTGGGGTGGGGTTCGAACCTTGGACCTCAGGATAACCGTTCCGGTGCTCTACCAACTAAGCTATCCAGCCATAATGTTGGCGGTTCCCCAGTTTATCAAGGTGCCTTAGTCAGGAGCCATAAACGTGTATGCCATGTAGCCAGCGATCATGCCCAAAGTCACGATGCTAGCAGCATTAGCAACCCTGCAAAACCTGAAAAAGCAACGAAAACACCTACAAAGCATCGCACTGAACTGCAGTGGATATGCAGCTGCAAATATCTCAATGACAAACCTTTCGTCATAAACCACAAAGGTCTGTTAGTTGTCATCAAGATTGCTTTACATGTACATTAATTCTATTAACACCAGAACAGCTGAAAAGAGTGATGGAATTGGATGAAATTAAGATTTGACCTCTCATATCGCTAGGCCCTATACAGCCCAGCCACAATACTCTTAATGCCCATTGAATTTTTGACCTTTTATTTCCGCTTGAAAACTCAGAAAGGTTCCCAGTAAAAGTTAGCAGAGAGGTAAAGGTTAGTATTTTGTGAAATTATAACAATAATTGTAGTAATTTTCTTTCATTTCATTAATATCCCATGCAGGCTTTTCAAGCACCAGCTGTCTTCTTCGATAGTCCTGAAGACAACCTGTGGACGTTGTTACTAGCTAACCCAGGTAAGAAGGAACTGAAACCTGCAAAATGAATGAATCGCAGCCAAGCCAGTTTTTAGAATCAATACTGAAAGACTATAGATTCACAAAGCATCAGCATAAGCGAGCTTCAGTCAGCAAATATGTTTTCTGATGTTGCTTTAAAATGAAAAAGAAGGGCGTCCAAGTTGCTGAGGTGTTGGGATAACAAACACGGGGTGCCCAAAACTGTGTATTCAAAAGATGGTCATACATCCCTATGGGGTCCATGCACAGTACCCCTCAACGGTAAAGAAAGGGAGAGTTGGGGGAGACCACTGGGAGAGACATTCAAAGTTCAAATGCATCACCGATGACGCATGATGCTCACAATGTGGTTGTTGTGCACACTCAGAATAAAATAAGTTTCGCATGCTTAGCGTTATACATGTGCAAACCGGTACGTGCCACAGAGCTATATTAAATTTACGTTACGTTACGTTTTCCTTGACTGTTGCCGTCGTTGGGGGGACCCGAGGGCAGAAGAAGCTGCAGTCCTCCTCCATGCTGGTCTGTCAGCGGCCTGCACTAGGAGTTCTGACATAGTCATGTTTGTCCATTCTTTTACGTTGTCAAACCAGCTCTTCCGTTGTCACCCTCGCCTTCGTCCTCCCTCGACAGTGCCCTGCATGATAGTCTTGCAAAGACTATTATGCCGCGTGACGTGGCCGAACCACTTCAGCTTCCGTCGCTTCATGGTGGCAAGAAGAGGTTCCTGGGGATTCCTGGGGTTCCTTATTAAATTACTAGAGCGCTAACTCCTCATTCTTGAGCAAGGAGACGCTTTGAAGCCGCCCTGGGTGCAGACATTTTGAATTCATGTGCGTGTTTGTAGAACATAATGTAATTAGATGGTTTGAATTTTGAAAGTGTACTCTACATGCAACGCGCAAGTAGAACATACGCAAACAACTTGAGCACGTCATGACAGTTAAAAAATGCAGATATGCAAATAGCCTGTCCACAGTGGTCAAAAAGCACCCACTCTTGTTCACGAACGGAGCCTTTGATAAAAACTTAAAGAACTTGGTTTGTCAAAGCAACTAAACTGCACTTGTGAAAGTCTAGTACTTCACACCATCCACACCATGCTCTGCAGTAAAACCATTACCACTCGAAAAAAGAAAAAAAAAATCAAAATTTGAGGCAACTTGGTAGCTCTTAAAGTGTATTCTTTTTTATTTACTTCCATAGATGGGCACTTGCTGGATAACAACAAGGAGTATATTCATTGGTTGGTGTAAGTAAAGTATTTCCTAAAATTGATATTTTAGTGTCAAACTTTTGGTCAAACTTTTCTCTAACTCATTTTGTTTTGCGTTAGCGTTGCCCTGTTTAATGTTCAATACTTTTGTTTTATTAAACAGAGGCAACATCCCTGGTAACCAGCTGGGTCAAGGCGATGAGATATTTGATTACCTGCCACCGTTCCCGGCGCAGGGCACCGGTTACCATCGCTTTGTGTTTGTACTCTTTCAGCAAGACGGCAGGGTTGACTACAGCAATGCGGCAGTCAGTCTGCCATGGTAGGTGTATTTTTTTTGGGGGGGGGCATGCTGGTCCCAGAGGGCCAGCGTAATGTCCTCTTTATATCTATCTCACTGACTGACTGACTGACCTTTCAGGTGTGAGCCGGGCAGTGCTATCATATAGGATTACCTCGTAATGCCAGTGAATTAGCTAAATCCGGCCCATTGTGTAGACCACAAACATGAGCAGACTTCCAGTGAACAGCCATTCTGAATCATTTGAATAGAAGTTTTGTGCACTCTAGAACCGGTTCTACTAGGCTTGCCTTGACCTGTTATATCAGTACATGTGAAGCAAACTTTTATTTTTAGTTTTAGATTTATTTGCACAATATTTGAAAACAATATTTGACTGCAGTGATGTTGGGCATACGTGTAGCCTTGTTGTTCACCCTCTTGGGCACGTGGCAGGCTTGGCTTGCCTTGGGTTGTATAATGCATGTCTCCCAGTTGTAAGAAACATGATCATACATCACAAAAGTCAACACTTGTTTATTGGTGAATATAATGCCACAAAGTTTTGCAAAAGCATCCAACTTTCATTTCTGGTTTCTTATATAAGCCAGGCTTCGTTTGGCACACCCAGTTGTCAGAATTTTTTTTCCAAGTTGAAAGACAAACTCCTTTTTTTTCACAATTCATTTGAATATTTTGTCACTTGATTTGAGACTGGACTTGTATTGTGACTTGTGATCGACTTGTGATTGACTTGTGATGGATTTGTGATTAACTTGTGATCAGCTTGTGATTGACTTGTGATTTTCTTGTAATTGACTTCTGATTAACTTGTGATTGTCTTGTGATCGACTTGTGATTAACTTGCGATTGACTTGTGATTTTCTTGTAATTGACTTCTGATTAGCTTGTTATTGACTTGGGATTTACTTGTAAAGTCGCGCTGACTTGCACACAAACTTAAATAAATTGTATTTATTACTTAGTGTACATTTTTTGCAGTCACAGTGTGACTTTTATTACCACTATGTCTAAATTTTTTGCAGTCGCAAACTACAAGAGAGAACATTTGAGACGTTAGAGTTCTACAGGCAGTACCAGGACATGATCACACCGGCTGGGTTGGCATTCTTCCAATGTCGTTGGGACTCCTCCGTGAGAGAGACTTTCCACCACACACTTGGTAAGATGTGCACATGATCACCTTGAAGTCCTCGTCTTGCATCCAGGGATGTAGTCAAGTCCATCACAAGTCCCTGCAAGTCCATCACAAGTCCTCCAGTCCCAATTCAACTCACAAGCTATTCAAAGGAGCTTTGACAAAGGCATTCCTTTGTTAGTGTTTAGTGCTCATCCACTGTTACTTGTGACTGGACTTGTGTTTGACTCATGATTTACTTGGGACTGGACTTGTGATGGACTCGACTACATCCCTGCTTACATGCCTGTCATCTGATTGGTGGGTTGTTGATCATGTTCATTGAATTATTCATCCCAACTCACAGCCCGGCCGCTCCGCAAAAATAGAAGTGCAGTAAATAGAAATTCAATTGCATGGCCAAACTATTGTTGCGCTGTAACACAGCTCTGATGGCTCTGAAGATGAAAATTTATTCAGGCGTAGTACGAAGCAAATAATGAAAATTGTACATTCGTGCAAAGGAAAAAAATTATTTTATTCAGTGAGAGATGGAATGTACAATTCCACTCGATGAACATTCCATCTTTCACCTCATGAAATTATTCTTGCCATTGCACTCATAAATATTGGTTGTTTGTAAACCGTCTCAAATATAAACATATGTCATCACGAAATGAGAACAAAGTCGGAAATTGCCATGTACAGTGGGGCAAAGCCAAAATTTGAAGGGGGGCTTGATTTGTTTCCAGGTGAACCTCTATATGTAAATCCTGTTCTACCTTTCCTATTGTTTTTGTTCTGCAAAACATCTTTAAAACCAATTTTCATCCCCTTTTGTTGTTTGATTGTTCATTCACTGTAATACAACAGTGGGATTTCTAAATGCTGTTTTCTCTAAAAATTAGTTTTACAACTTCAATGAAGTTGGCGGTCCATATTTCTGTTACTAAACCCTGTTACCCTAAAATGTTGTATACCATTGGAAAGCTCTTGTTCTGCAAATATCTTAATTCTTGAAAAGTTTCACTTTATACGCTCATTTTGTGATGATGGGTAACATACCTTGCTGGTATTTGAAGATATATCTCATGAAACTCTTACAGTGGCACTGTTACAATTTCATCTGTTGTTTGTAATACCAAATCTCCAAGTTTTGTCTTGTTCCTCGCCAGGTATGCGCGAACCAATCTTTGAGTATGACCACCCTAAGCAGTACATTGCCGAGCAGAAGAAGTTCCCCCACAAGAAGCCCTTGCAGTACCTCTTGAAGTACATGCCCAAGGACAAGAGGGCCAAGATCAGAGGCTTCTGGCCCAATTTCCCTGACAGGAGACTTCGAGATTAAGAGGAACGGGGAAGAAAAGAACACTAGACGGAACCATTAAGCACAGCCCGACGGGCACATGGGCAGCGACATGTGTACCTCTTCAGTGCTAGTGCATGTTCCAGCTGTGCGCATCATGTCGGACCTGTGGAGTACATGTAATGGGTGCCCCATACACAAAAAAAACATGCATTACTTAAGTCACACATGCAACTTTTTCATGGATGTTTTTGGTGTTTTTTTTTACTTGACAGATTGAAGATAGTCATAACACAACAATTTGTATTCCAAAATCATGTTGTTTATTATTCATATTACTGTTATCTTGAAGTTTTATATGATACAATTTTGGTCAATATAACACACAAAAATCTGTTATATACATGCACACTTTGGGGCTCCAAATAATTAGTTAATAGTTAATGTGAGCAATGAGCTGCTTCTATACATGTACAAAGAAGCAAGTTTTTTTTTTGAACATTTGAAAATATTTCAAAGATTTTCAATAGATAAGAATATCCTATGCAGTATATTGAGTTCAAAGCTGCTTTCAGCAGGAAAATAAACACCTTTCCAGGTCATTCTTCAAAATATTTTATGTGACCTGGCACACCACGAAAGATGAAAATAAATATAAGGATTGAGATGTCAGATTAAATATTCCCCAATGAGTAATTATTATTTAAAGGATGCAAATTTCAGGTGTCATATTTAGTTGTTGAGTAAAGGCAAGGCAATTTAATATGATGCTGTTGCATGTTCAGAACATGCCTGATTTTCAATCGTTGTTGGCTACATGCATACATATACTTCTATATAGGCATAGAGTACATGTACACTTCATTTTAAATGTATACATGTGTTTGACACGTGCCATGGTACGTGGGCTTGAACCCTGATGGGGAACATGGTGCTTGTGTTCTTGGGCAAGACACTTTACTACAATTGCTTTTCTCCATTCAAGAGGATAAATGGGTACCTGTGAAGGTAAAGACCAGAATGCCTTGATATCGAGCTGCCGCAGAAACTGGTCTCATGGCCTGATGAACAGGGGTAATAAAATTGTGATGCGTTTTGAGACCTTTGACATATAAGCGCTATATAAGCACTGCTTTGTATACATGTACATATCGTATCTCGGATAACACTATTATACAATCTAACATTTATTGCTTTTTTTCAAGGTGATTCTTGATGAACTTTTATATTCAAGTTTTGGAAATTTTGGAAATTTCGCAGGTCCATATTTAAGGTATTTACAGTTTACCCAAAGCAATCTAAATTACCATTGCCTATGGCTTTCAACATTGGTAATCCTATTTCAAACATTTGGGCCAAGGTTAGACTTAATCAAGTCTAATTCACAAGTCAGTCAATCAGGTACCAAGAGTATAGGATGGCCCCCGTGGGACAAGCCAAAAAACAAACAAAAATGAAACTTTTTTTAGGACTTTTCCATGTTCTGCAGATGTTCAAACACAACATGGAGAAAAGAGAGAAAAAAAGGGTCGCTAGTACATATGCTGTCCCCTTACATGTTCATCAATATATATTCACGTTTTATACAATTTTTAATGTACACCATTGTACATGTACGTGTTGTTTAACAAGTTCCCCAGAATTGTATTACTATATTACACTTGATCTGAAAAAGTTATTTACATACATTTACATATACCTGACCATAAATATTCAAATATATTATTCATCTGAACTTTTTTTTTTCTAATCTAGATTCGCAAGAAATTTTAAGAGCATTTTTTTACTCAACATTGACTGCACAAATATTACACTTTTTTCTTTTACAGTGATCATTCTTGACAAAGATAAACTGCAAATCATCATACATAATTGATGAACAATATTAAAATTATGGATATTTATCTTACTAAAGTCATTTCGAATGCTCAGCACAATGTTTTCTATTTAAAAAATAAAAAATCTACAACTTTTTTTCTGGGCTTCAACAGCATGAAATTCAGGGGTATCCCAAAAAGTGTCGAATTGAAAATATAATTTCAAATTTGGGGGATTCCCCACAATGTGTCGTAAGTTAAAAAAAAATATCTAATATAAATAATTTCATTCTTACACACGATTGAAATTTTCTTTCTGCACATTCTTTTTACATTTCAATAGGCAGTGGAGTTTATCAATTTAATATAGTAAATCTAAAAATTAATGTGGCCTGACGTTGCGAACTTAGCAAGTTCTTCTTCAGAGGCTAAAACAGAAATTTCTGTTTTAGCCTCTGAAGAAGAACTTGCTAAGTTCGCAACGTCAGGCCACATTAATTTTTAGATTTATATATTTCAGGTCCATCCAGTCAGTAAGCAGTTTGCAGCAGTCTTACTTTTTTTCATTTAATATAGTACTTAAAAGAAAAAAGAAAAACCATACTCGGCCAATTCTGTTCTGAAATAAATGAAAAGGCTCATAGCCATTTAGGAGTGTGGAGTTTGTGTAGGTGTATATGGAGTACTGAAGTGAATACGTCACGCGCATAAAACGTGTGTTAAAGACATTAGCACGTGATTCAGCCCTTGAACCAACATGCGTGCGTACTCCTGATCCATTCATTTTGCACTACACTTTCTGGTTCTAAATGACGTCACACTTCGGTACTCCATATTTGGCAGTGTGTGATGTGATTAGGAGAACCACTGAAGGACCCAACAGTAGATGGCTCTTTGGTCGCTTACAAGAGCTAATTTGATGAGAGACACCGCGTGCCCCACACAAGACCATTCATTTCTTAACCTGAAGCGTCTTCGTTTGGGCGGTAGATGTATAGAGCCAATGCCTACAAGTGTCCCTCCCTTTGTGATGTCAGTGGTCTTCCCAACTCTCTCTTGGTAATTGTTGAGGGGGTACTTGTGCCTGAAGTCCATAGCGTGGAGTTCCTCTGAGACTAGTCACCGATGAACAATGGGTAATAATTGGGGTCCAGCAGGTCTAGGGAGATTACAGCTGTCTTCACCAGGTCCATGATGAAACTGCTGGGTTGAAACGGGTACCAGACCAGCTGATCTTTGCACTTTCAACACAACTTTATCCGCAATAAACCAATCACATACTAAAACAAATTCCAAACAACTTCCCAACTACGAGAGTAGTTGATGAGAATTGAAGGTTTGCATGGTGGAGAGATACTAAGACAAGATAAGTTTGCGGTAGCACCATGTGAATAAATCTCTTTTGTGAGTATGTGTGGTGACTGAAAAGTCCCTCCGGTTCTTTTCAGAACTACACATACTCACAAAAGAGATTTATTCACATGGTGCTACCGCAAACTTATCTTGTCTGAGAGTAGTTGAACCGTTAGTCTGGGTCCAATGCTAGATTTTCATTCCCCTATTTTGCAGCCTGTCCCATGACAAACGCGCTAAGTTGCCGCGGTGGTGGAGGTCTCTATCAACAAGATGAATCAAATCCAGGCTTGGCAATATTGGCAGCGCTACCCAGGAAATTGGAGCATGCCTCATGCACATGCATTAGCTTGAATACAGCGCGATTGGGGTTGGCTCGGAATTTCCTGGGTAGCTCTGCCATTATTGCCAAGACTTGATTTGTTTCATCTCATGTTGATAACGACCTCACTTGTCACGGACCGGCTGTATAAGGGGAATAAACTCCCAACCAGTCTTGGACCAAAGACTATCAAACCGTCAGTAATTAGAAAGCATTCCAGCGAAGTGAGTTGAACAATGGTAAGTCACACGTTGTGCTCAAAATCCATGATTATTTGCTCATACTGGACAGCATGGGTTGTCCACCATGAGTATGACGTCAATGCCGTAGAGTTCTACTAGGTCCATGATGAACTGGCGGTCAGCGATGGGGTCCAGCCCCATGGCCTTCAAGTGGTCAGTGGTAAGCGTTTTGTCCTGGCTCTCCGACACATCCATCAGGGTCTGGAAGATGTGGTTGTTTTGCTCCAAGAAAAATCTGAAATGGTGAAAGAAGAAAAAGAGCAGAGGTGGGACGGTATGACAAGCTTGAATCAAAGTCTGAATCCATCTGCTGAACTTTCTATCTTGGAAAATCAATTACTGTGTAAAGAGGGAGAATTGGTTTAGGGAGCACAGTTCAGGATGCAACTTTTACATGCATGCACTTGCACAGTAGAATTGTACAGCCTTTTCGAGCATTTTCTGCAGTTTAATTTATAGTAAGGGTATAAAAATGTGCTTGCCCAGTTTTAAACAAGTACGTTTTAAAGCGGCTAGTGGCCTGGATGCTGATAATGGCCCAAGCCGAATTCATAAATTCCCCTTGGTCAAAAAGTCAAGACAAGTCAAAATGTATATATTTTCCAACAATTTCGTTCAAAAATTCTACTTCACTGTTTTGTGAAAAACCCCTCTAAGCTATGCTTATGGTATGTGCCTCGCGCGAGTAATACTAAAAATATCCTTAGATGTTGATTGGCAGGACCTTGGCGCTTACTGCGCAATGTGGCGCTTACTGCGCAATGTGGCGCAGAATGCAGCGGTACCAGAAAAAAGTGTTTAAAACCAGTCGGTGTTTTATCAACCGTTTAAAACCACCCACATGACGGGCTCTCAACCAATAGGAATGGGTAAACTGTCCCGGGGAATTTTAAAATAATAATGTGGTACTTCTGAAGTGTTTCATTCCAATGTCTCAAAGCACTTCACAATTACCACCCCTGATCATCAGGCCATGAAACCTGAAATGACTCTGGCTCCAATTAGTAAAACAAAACTTCGTAGCGCCACACTAGCAACTTACGATGCAAATGTGTGATCGTCATCCAGCTCCTCTCCGAGTTCCTGCGCTCTGAACATCATGGCGCATCGCTGGTTGTTCAGCCGATTAAACTTCTCCTTGTCCATGGCGTTGATCTTAGCCATGGTCTTCAGGTTGGCCGAGTGCGTCGTGACATTCTGGTTGTCCACGTACACGTCATACAGGGAGTGCTTCTCTTGAAAGACTTTCTCCGTCGTGCCTGAAGAGTCAAGATAAAAACTTTATGTTATAAGATGTAAATTCAATATTGGGTTTTTGCCCTGCGCCATATTTTTCGTTAACACTTTATACTCAGTGTTGTCCAATGGCTTGTGAAAAAAACCAAATTATCTAGCTTACTCTGGTGGGACTCGAACCCAAGACCTCCTGCTTACTACTACAGTTGTCTTACCACTCTACCACCGAGCTTGCCGGAGTCAGATGGCTGGTTCAAATCTGATGTAGCAGCGGGTACCGCAACTGAACTTTTTATTGGATGGAACGTTTATTGGTGAGATTTGTCCTGATTTCCGGATTTTTTTGTCAGATTTTTTTTTCCTGATTTCAATGTTGTTTGTCAGGATTATTTCTAATTTTAGGATTTTTAAAGAATCTCAAAATCTGGAATTCCTGAGGTTTCACTGTAAAGGTTTTTTTACCTATAAAAGTTTATACAGAACAATAGAAATTGGTATTTTAAGGGGTGCCTATATGCAGATACAAACATATACTATAGAGCCTACCGATATGTTGGCCTTGGGCCCTTGGCAACTCTCGAACCCTCTGCTGATTATTTTGTGGGTTTTTTCATTTTCTCCCTATCTCAACCCCTGGAGAGTCCAATTTCTGTACATTAGTCTCTTTTTGATCACAGTGATTCCAAAAATACACTGCACACGTACATCCTCTGTGAGAAATATAATCCCTGTAGATTTAGAACAGGATTGCAAAAACCCTCTAATGCATTGCACATGTACATGATGATAATTTTGCAAGATACTCAGACCAAATTTGAACCGCTGTATCCACTTACATGCAATGTAAGAAACCTCTGTTTCTATGGTATCTATATCTGCCACATTGATGTAGAAGAATGGTTTGTATTCGGTTGCTGCTGATATGAAGACTTCGTGCTGGCCTAACGTTGATGCACAGTACACTGTTGAGGGGAATAAAAGGCAAGATTCAGACAAAGAGTTGTGGTTTAAATTTAGTGAATGAATTCATAAAGCACATGTGGAATGTGCATTCGTTTAAAAAAGAAGGCATTTTTCTAGAATTTTTTTACAAATAATTTCTTAAACTCTTGGAAGATGTATTGTCCATGTTATTTTGGAGTTTTGGAGCAAACCCAATTATAATTTTTTAATTTAAGTTTTTTAGCAAAACAAACAGTATTTTCTTTTGAATGAGACATTTAAACACAAAGAACCATTAGCAAAAAAAAAGGGAATTTGTTGAAGAGCACAGACTGTACATGTTCAATATCTACATGTAACAGCAGTTGCAGGATATGTGTACAACATGGCTAAACAGACCGTGCAATAGTAATTTTACATGAAACGTCAAAGCATCAATCAATATTGGAATATCTGGAAGATTTGACTTGTAGGTTGAGATTGGAAAATGTGGTTCTGGCATTAAATGTAAAACCGCCCGTCCATTACAGCATTTTCATTACACCTTGTGTATGCAGTTAGATATGCGATGGACGTTAAATGGAATTGAAAAGACAAAGTTACAGTAAAGACAAACAAAAACAAGCCCCCCCCCCAAAAAAAAGCCAAAGGAACAAAAAGCCTCTCTCACCAAAACAAATTTATTTAACAAAACTTGTATTCATCCATGTATATGCAACACCTAATATGGCTGACATACTTGTACATACAAGCACAGCCAGCAGATAACTAGATTACCCGCTGACATGTTGACCACAATTTCAGCTGTGCAAGGATACGCAAACCACACACTGATTTAACTCAAAATACACGTCCCCAGCTTCGATCACATCAATCTATGAATCAAGCGCGGCAGAAAACACACACATCATCATCAGTATGACCAACTGCTCCAGTTTTTCCCCTGCGAGGCTACTGGCGATATTCATTATGTCCGTTTATTGAGTTACGGTCTTGTTCAATGCCAACTCATATTAGATCTAGCCTCCATTTGCGTGTGTGTTTAGACTACCAATGCCTTTTAACTGCAGCCATGTGCAGCAAGCTAGAAAGCCAACATATACAGGCGCCATACATGTACATGGGATTAACAACGTGGCAAAATGTACATTTTCTTTTTCATAGCAGTTCATTAAGTGAACAAAATTGGATTTTCACACAATTCCGGGTTCGGAAACTGGAGGGACACAACATGTATAGTATACATGTACTGTATGAGTTAGCTTGAGGTTATTTTGTTTGTGCCAGGATTATTTTTGCCGAAAATTTCGTTTTTTGCAAAAGGCAAAATTTTCCAGCCAACTTCTGATATACAGCCAAATGTCACAAATACTGATTTGCAAGAGTCATTTTAACAGTATTTGTACGATATTTCTTGCCGAAACCTCATATGTTTCAATACTGCATGGTGTGCACTGGAGCGTAACATTGTACAACAATAGGCCGTGCACAACGGCAAGATTAACACACGGTCTGCCTCCACAGATTTCACAGACTATGTGTGTGTACAAAAAGGCACGATGTATGGATTAGCGTGTTTAGACGTCACCCAGAGGCGAGTTGAGGCAATCTCGACGTCTTAACCCGTCAGCCATGCCTGTGTATCACAGCCAGAGCGTGTTATCGCGTCCTCCGACGCGAACTGGTTAAATAGTTGGAACAGGAGTAACACAAAACTGACAGCACATTCCCAAATTATTTCAGGCTATGAATGATTGGGGATTGGTGTTGAACAAATTTGAAGGAAGTGTACAAGGTGCGAAAAGAATTTTGCGTTTTGTAAATCCCATTTTTCACAACAAAGCAAACTTTCAGGTGTTAATGAGTCTTGGCGTAAATTGCGGATTATTGTGCAAGGCACTCCGCGAAAGATAACGTGTTACTGGGCCATACAAAGTTTGCAGTTTGCTCATTAATGTACATTTCATGTAGCTCAAGGACTTGCTTGATAGTAAGCACTGTCCATATATCGACATTACTGGCCTATGCAATAATATTTTGATATCGATATCGCTGACAGCAAATTTTTAATCATATCAAAATTTCGAAATTTTGGATATTGACGAATGATATCGAAAATATAAAAAATGTGTCAGATTATCATCAAAATAAATCTCCCGTTTGACCTTTTACTTTGTGTTTAATATTTGCTGTATAATGAAATAAAACTCATCGGCAACTTGTGCTTGTGACTCAAAAATAAAAACATTGGAAATGCCAAGTAGCTCGCTTTGTGCTCTGCGTTCGCTGGAATTCGCGGTCTCCCAATGTAAAACCTCAAAAGAAACCGCCCGTTCTGGACAAACTGTCAGTGCTGAGATTTGTTTTAAAAAGTTTGAGCAATATGCTCCAGAGAAAGCCGTGGAAAATTGGGACTTAACATTGTTTTTTTTTAATCAAAGTGTCATCTTTATGGTCTTTAACTTTTACATAATTTGTCGCTCTTCTCAATATTGGATTTCCGATACAACGATTATTGAAAATTCTGATATCGACGGCGCTTACTTGATTGTTTGATGAACTAAATAACACCGATGCTCCTCAACAAATTCATTTTTTTTCTCTTTATAAATTTTCAACTTGTATAGTTTTTCCCATCACAAAAAAATCTCCTTTTTTTGAGGAGGGGGGGGGGGGGATCTACAATCCTCTGAAAAAAAAGTTTTTTTTATAATGAGTTCAAACTGATCTGCCTTATGAGTAGACTGGTTCCTGGTCCATACATTATCGATACTGGGTCAGGGTGGGAACCAGCTAACCCCACGAGAAACGTAAAAAAAATTGTGGGGGAGGGGGTCAGGAAGACACGCCCCCTTCCATACCTCCTTGAAACATCACGATTTAACAAATATTCAAGTAGGAGAATGAATGCAAGAAATCACTGTGGCTATAAAATCTATGGTCCCTCACCTCTGTAGCAGACGACACCGATGGGAGGCGGTGAGAAGAACAGAATTCTCTTGCGTAGGAGGACGTACTTCCACAAGGTGAAGATCTGCTCCCCAAAGAAGTTGATGAACTGTGCAAAGCAGCCAGCTGGATGTGTGATCTGATGAGAGATAAGAAAGCAGAGAAATACATTCTGTTAATACGCTGGCTGTGCTCGTTAACAAATTCAAGTTTGTGTTCTCCTAACAAAGCACACTCAACCAAAAAAGAAATTCCCCTCTCAATACTTTTTTGTCTAAAATAAAAACTACTGGGCACATCTTGCTCAAACTACATCTGATCAGTACAGAAATTCCTTAGCAATCCAGCCATACTCTTTGTTTGGTCCAAAACAGTGATAATGTGTACACAATTATGCAATTTATGACAAGTGGTACTGAAAAAAGTTGCATTTTGTATGCGTGCAAGGTGAGTGTGAACCACAACTTACACGTATACAAAAGTGCAACTGTTTTCAGTATCATTTGTCATAAATTGCATAGATTCATCCACTTCTTTTCCCCGTCCCTTGTTACATCCGACATCTATGATTTCATAATTCTGACAAAATGTCGGATGCACTCCTTGATTAATGCAGTTGTAATCCAAGAGTCATTATGAATAATAATAATAATAATAGTGGATATTTATAAAGCGCATCTATCCACCAGGACTGGTGCTCAAGGCGCTACATCATTATTACCCCTGCTCATTGGGCACATGAAACATTCCAAATACCATCTCAGCTCACTGGGGAGTATACAGCTCGATGCAGCCTGTTAGGCGCAAGGAAGCTAATTCAATCACAATAACCATCTCTGCCCTCACAGGTACCCATTTACTCCTGGGTGTAGAGAAGCAATGAGTGACAAAGTGCCTTGCCCAAGGGCACACGCACCATGACCCCGCCAGGACTTGAACCCACAACCTGCAGCTTTACCCGCAGACCACGAATCAGTGCCCTTAACCACGAGGCCACAGTACTCCACTATTATGAATAGCAAACTACCTTCCCCAAAAAATAAAACATTGTTTGAAATCATGATACTTAAAATGGTAAATTACAAAGAACCAAGGTAACAGGGACAGGAAAAATGTCACTCTTTGAATGCTAATTTTCTAATGACCCAAAAACTATAGGTTTTTCTGGTCAAATTCATCAATTGCTCAATTTAACATGAGGCCCTTAAAAATTTGTTTTAGAATGAATGCTCCCTATAAACGAAAGGAATGACTAAACCAAAATCTCGTGTGCATGAAAACACAACTGAATGAGATAATAGGTGGGTGGGGGGGGGGGGAACCAGTATGAACACAATTTAAAAATTTGCACCAATCTGAATGCGTGTTGATGGAAATGAACTTTTTCTTTTTGCTGAAATTGGCTGTGAAAACCTATATTTACATTTCAATTTACATTGTCTGTCCTGGATGATGGCACAAGTTTGTGAAGTGTTGAACGTAAATCAACCACCCATGACAAAGTTATGCATAAAAAGGCTTGATAAAGCAGTCGGACCACTTTTGTATTTTTAAGCACAGTGAATGAACATGAATCAAAACTAAATGTGCATTTGTATCATTGTCACGAAACTATTATCTTCCTGTTGAGACTTTCACTTCCAGGTCTTTAAAGAAAGTGAAACAAATTGTAGACCTTCATGTTGTAGACCTACATTAACAACTGGACATTGAACTACAAGGAAATAATCAACACAAATGTACAGCCTACATTTGTACGTGCAGCAAAACACAAACTATTCGCAATTTATAACAAATGCATATTTTTCTGGGCCTTTAGGCATGTCAGTTGCATGTGCACCAAGAGTACATGTATAATCAGCATTCAGCTGTATGCCCGCAACTCAAACACTTATTCATGTAATTCCTGATTTATTAGGCATGAAGGGGTTATAAAAACCACATAAAACAGTGAGCAAATATAGCCCCTAGCTGCTCCTAAAGAGTAGCTACAAATGTATGATTATCTGTGTAGAACTTACAATGATTTGAGAGAAGTCGTAACTCCTGATGTGTCATTTCTTGACAAGTAAGATGGACATTAAGCGAAAATCCTGAAACTTGGAACATTTGAAAAAGCAACTTACAAGGCGAGGAATCTGGCCACGATATATTTCCTTTGTACGTTTACATGTACATACATTTATGAACAGTTGCCCTTTAAGTCCATCCCTGGCAATTTGCACAAAATCAAATTTGAATTGACAGATGGGTCATTCTATAAATTTGGGGTCCACTTTTTTTCCTGTCCCTGTTACATCTGACATCTAAGATTTTATAAATCTGACGCACTCCTTAATGCAGTCATCCTCCAAGAGTGATTATGAATAGCAAACTACCTACATTTGAAGTCATTCTTAATGATACTTGAATGGCAAAGTACAAAGTGCTAAGGTAACAGGGACAGGAAAAACTATCACACTTTTTAGACCCTAAGTTTATAGAATGACCCATCCGTCAATCAGTGTTTTCCGATTCCTATCAAATCAGCACTTTATTTGCTGACGCACTGCTTTAAAAAAGTTCTCCAATGATAATTATCGCATCATTGCTTCCAGGCAAATAGAGCCAGGCAGTGACATTTACAGAGTGTGATTGGTACTATCACGCCTGAACACCTACTTCTATCTCTTGACATAGACATTTCTCTGTAGGTTAGGCCAAAAAAAATAAGTCGGTCTCTGGTCAGCACGCGCGTCGATTTTAATCATGCGCATCAATCTTTTTTTTTCCAAAATGTAGTAGCTCCAACAGCGCCCTCTATTGCCGCACCTCCTCAATTTTTTTTTACCAAAGAGCACCAAGGAATGGGAAATTGCACCAAGGCAAATGATCGAGAGCACCAAGGCAAATTATGGAGGACACCAATGTACATGAGGACACCAAAAAAGCAAAATAGTACCCCACCTTGTCTGTACAATCCAAGCTTGAAGAAAAAACAAAAAACAAAAAAAAAGCCGCGTCGCCGTGTCAATTCCGAAACTTTGGCCTGACCAGAGACCAAATATTTTTTTTTTTTGGCCTTATTAGAGCAGTGGTTTTTGGAAGGCTAAGAACAGACTCGTGCATTAGCGATGTAATTAGTTTCTCGGAATGTGTGTGGTTCTGTTTTTGGAGGGAATGGGGGAGTTGCCACTGGGTAAATGAAGTATGCCTGGGTCATATACATCATCGGGTATGTGCTATACCATGCACAGTCATGGGCATATGTGCATGACCAGTTTTACTTTGAATGTGCACAATCCCATAACGTCTGTGCATAAGCGTCAGGCGTCGTCGCCAATGCGCTACAGTGGAACATCGCTATAACAAACATCGTGGGATCCGCAGAAATTGTTCGTAATAGCAATCATTCGGTATAACGATTTTCACACGTTAGTGGCGCCCTCTTTTGATCATTGTTATTGTGTAACTGCATTTAAAAACCACGCACGGAGTCAGTTGCCAAACGTGTCCTTTAATAGTTTCAATTCCGTAGCAGAACTTCACCAAGTACGCCCTGGTAGTTTATGAAAGACGACTTCGAACACGTGCGACTATTGAATCATGTAATTACATGGGTGGCTTTTTCCTACTATTCGTTGGGGAAATAATTTGTCGCTTTTCTGTTGACATTTCTATTTTGTACACAAAAATTGGGAGCCAAGACTGATGTTCGGTATAGCCGAATGTTCGGTATAGCGGTGTTCAGTATAGCAACGTACGTTCCACTATATATTGTTCCTCCCAGTTGTCTTCCCAAATTCTTCATTTGTAACTGTTGAGAGGATACTGCACAAAGTCCATACTATTCAAGTTATGTAATGGGGACATCATCTAAGAGTGTGTTCCAAGCATACCTTCATTGTAGGTAGACTGTACTCCGAGCTGGGCGTGGTTATGGGTGTGGTCAGGGGCGTGGTTCCAGTCGATCCAATCATTGGTGAGGATACCGATAATGTGTCTCGCGATGTCTCTCTAGATGGCAACGACCCCTTACGATCATTGAAGAAGGCCAACAGCTGCTCATAGCGACCAGGAATTTCCAACTGGTGCCTGAAAAATGATAATCGCAAAAATGGGCATTCATGAACATTAAACAAAATATTTTGTAAGTACTGTAGAAATCATTCCCACGTCTTTAAAATTTTACTTTTTCAAGGATGTGCTCTTCCTAAATAATGGCCCAAATACAGAAGTACAATTGCGACTGATCCTGCAAGCTAAAGGGTGAAGGATTTTAGTGTCAATTTAATGGAAAAAGAATAGTTTTGTAGTTTCTTACCGGACTTGGTTTTCCAGGAACTGCATATGTTTGTAGAGTGCCGTGTAGGACGTTGCTAGGATACCCACTGACTTCATCCGGGCTCCCCTCTCTACTTCGCTGTCCACGGGCATATTTTGGAAACAGCTCAAGCCGTAGTAGTCGTCCTTCCTGAAATATCTAAAAACAAAGAGAAATGGGGAGAAAAAAGAGATACAATTATATCGATTGATGCCATTCTTCGGCAACATGTAAAACTTGCATGTACAGAAAACAACAGATACATGCAGACATATTTTGTGCTGGTCACAGAGGACAGCTAGGTGTCTACTTTGTACCCGACAAACTGACTGACTGACTCACCGACTGACTGACTGACTGACTGGGGACCAGCTCTACTTGACTTGCCCTGTCTTGTATTATAATGAGAGACTGTAATCGAAAGAAATCCGTGTCCACCATATAAATTATTCATGAGGAAGCCATTTTTGATCGTGCTTCCTGAATTTTATTTACACATGCATAGGCGATTTTGTCGCGCGATAATGTCCCGCGTTTTGATAGATTAGCACAAATCAATAAGCGCTTTTACCTTCACGCAACAAAGTCATGCAACTTATTGTGCTAATATCAGAAATTGGGCAACATATTGCGTATTGGTTCGTTTACATATGCGTGTGCAACATTGCAGTCGGCAGTGGGACATTGTCATTGTGACAAAATCACGTATGATTAAATAGGCCTTGTAAACTGTTAAATGGGATGGTGCCAGTCTATTTATGTGTTTAAAGCCTCACTTTCAATTTTCTTTTTAAATGTGGCTTAAAATATTAGCGTAATAATTAATCACAAATTTTCACATTATTCATCAGAGCAGACTGGTTTTGAAATGTAATTAACTTTATTTCATTACTTGCATTCCTATTCGCTAGTTCCAAAAATGAAAATTTTACCTCGCATTCAATATGGCTGACTCGTGAATAAAGCCTACAGACATGTACTACAGTTTCCCAACTCCACGTAAAACAATAGAAAAAATATCTAGTTCTACAAATGTGTTCCCTGAAATATTTGCCCTAAATTAATGGGGAAAAATGGTCCATGTCAACCATGACATTTCTCACTAAAATGTTCAAACAGTTTCTTATATGTACATTGTAAATGGACAAAATGGAAACCAAATTGTCTTGATGTCAAAACGTAAGATACACAGCATAACAGCTTCTCATATTCAGGGTAAAAAAGAGGTCCTTTCATTTGAGAAGTATCAAGTGGAATTCAATCAGCAGACAGACCTATGGATCTAAGGCAAATTCCCTCAAGGCAATGATCACACCTCCATCAGGAAGATGAATAAGATACAAATAGATCAGGGTAATACACTAGCCTCCTGCAGGTGTCATCTTTGGTGTCTCCTCTGTGGTCTTGTTACAGGTATCAATACCCAAAGGGAATTCAGGGGACTATAACGTGGGTGTGTGTTTATGCATAGGCCAATCATCAAACCACATCAATATTTGAAGGGGTTTGGGTCTTCATGGAGAGCTTCCATGTAGCTCTGGGGTTTCATCCTAAATGGTGCACGGCTCTACATAATGTCTTACAAAATGTCTTGAGGGAATTCTCAGTGAGGCCAAGGAAAATAATATTTGTGTTTCCAGTTACCTAACCTCGGAAATTACACAGAACCCAAATCATTTTGTTTAAAAAAAAAATTAGAAAAAAAAAGATTAATGATCAGCATCCCAACCTAATTTTTTCTAGCCACAAAAATTAGGAGCAAAAAAAAAGACATTGATATTTTTTCAATCAATTTACTGTATCTGTTCAAACAACACCGGATAAGTTCAGACAACTCAATAGTGAAGGAATGTGAGACTTCGCAAGTGAAAGCTGCAAATTTATTGTACCAAGTTTATTTGTCTGATTGTAACTCTATGGTGCATGTAAACATAGCTCTATGTACATGATGTATGTAATTCTGTATCTTTGAAAGTTGCACAATACCATGTATCAAAAACTATGTGAGCTGATGTATGAACACTGTCAAATCATACATATATTTCAGATCTAGAAGAGAAGTTTAGTGGCTTGCTATTAAATGGAGTTCCCATCATATTTTTTACCATATCCTACATGTACACATGTAATACAGCGTGGCAATAAAAAAAAAAATGAAAAAAAAAATGAGGCAGCAAAGTTTACAGCCAGAGCTTGAAAAAAATTCCAATAAAATTTCATTTGGTCACACTTCAATTGACAAGATTGATGAAATCAAGACCCTGCTTTCGGATCAAGAGATGCTTAGCAAGATCTCCGAAATCGTGATAATAATCCATAATAATGATCCTTTGCGTCAGCTCATAACCGATTCACAATCTCACCAGCCATCTCGGCGAAAAATTCAAGTACGCAATGGCGTGCATAATTTACCCACTTGATGTTTTACCCTATGGTTGTACTTAAGGTGTTTTTTTTTTTACGCGTTTTAGTATCGAGTGTGCCAGGCTTCCTCGCGGGGCTGATCTGCCTGAGGGATCTTATTAATCATAGCCCCTCCGACGACTGTTCCTTTCTTCTCGCTTGGCTGTCTAATTTTGGACTCACACTGAGCGCAAAGCTTATTATGCAACGTAACAGACGTACCATACTTAATGAAATTTATTGCTTTTCACATAGCTAAATGGCAAGCAGCAAGATGATCTTCGAAGACTACAGCAGCCTATATACAACAGGGTCAAAAAATTTCTTCTTTTTGCTTTCACTGAGAAATACTTTCCTGATGATTAAATTAATGCAATTTGAAGGAATCAGATATTACACAAATTTTGCACAAATTCTTTTTAAAAAAATTATGTTTTTGGACCACTCATGTGTAATTCAACCTAAATTCCGGCCAGAGTTCTTGGGAGGCCCAAAACCAAAGTTAAGCATTACATGAAGGAGCAACTCTAACTCCAAGCACACTTAAAGAAACTTGTTTTCAGACAAACGAGCATCATGTATTAATTTTCAATCAAACATCCATGATTGAATGAGTAACAATTACCATAATTGGCTTCTACATGTACATGATGTGTAAGTGTGCAATTTAAGGTCAAATCTTTCCTAAAGATAAATTTGCCTTGGGTTTGGCTAATGACTAAAGAGATAAATCCTTGCGTTTATAATACACTAAATGAATCACCATCCGGTCGAGCTGACCTCATGTATAATTCAACCAGAGTTGTGGTTCCTTTTTTTCATCAATGTTCAATTTGCTATGCACGTGTGTGAGTGCACATATTACCAGTGTAAATCGAGGACATTCCTGAGGAAATTTCTTTTCTAATTGAGGACATATACCCAAGTGAGGAGAGTCCTCGGTTGGAAAATGTGTACAAAACCAATGAGTGACACTGCAAAAATGTTTTAGCACAAACAAAAGAGAACACACTTAGGGAAACTCCTTGTCTGATTGTGAGGACATGTACTCAAGTGAGGACAGTCCTCGCTAGGGAAACGTGTACAAAAGCAATGAGAAAGCAATCGATGTCCTCCATTTACACCATACAAAAACATAATTTGTTGAATAAAGAAACTGACTGATTATAAGGTGGAATTTGCGTCTGGGTGATGTAAATTCAAATATTTTTTTTTTACATTCAAACAGGACAACACATGTAGTGTTTATAATAAAAATACGTCGGTGAAGGGTTAAACCCAACATTGAAACTGACTGGAGTACCCGTGACTAACTATCCAGCTCTATGTTTACGGTTCCCGATTTTGTCAATGTCATTGTTCAAGGGTGCTAGTCAGAAGCCATAAACAAACATACCTGTGTACATTAGCCATGTTAGCAGTGACGGCATTGTAGGGAAGTTTCTTTCATTGTTAGGGAAGTTAGGACTAAGTTGTGAGGACTTTCAGCTGTCCCACGATTGTTTTTGGTCCCCACATTAACTATCGCACATCAGGTGTGTGGTGCCCATAACTACGGTCCAATTACACTTGTTCATGAACCAGTACAATACATTATATAACCGACATACAGATCCTTGTCATTTGATTGGTGGAACTCACATCACATGACATTCGTTATTACTCCCATTCACGCCGGGTCTCAAAAAGTACTATCCGCCCATGGGGAAATGGGAAATACTATTGAACAGTAAGGATCATTCTTGTTCCATGACGCGTTATTTGTGTGTAAATGCATGCTGGTGTGCGCGTTCAGCGTTGCGCGTAGCGTGTATTGTTCCAAAGAGCCAGCGCTACAGCGTTGGGTTCAAACATTTTCATGAAGGGGTGTTTTGGAAGAGAGAAGTACATTTTTCACCAATTTTGTATTGAAATAAAAGTTCAAATATATCAAATGACAAGGATCTACATGTATGTCAGTTATATAAAACAAATATGGAGTGGCTTTAAATTGAGAAATGGGAGAAATATTATCACTCGGTAAAATCTGGACTTTTCCAGTTCACTCGGCTTTGCCTCGTGAAATGGAAAGTCCAGATTTTACCTTGCGATAATATTCCTCCCATTCCACGCTGATCCACTCAATACTTGTATACTATCAAACTGCGCAGCTCTATGGATGACGCATACAGTTGGAGGGCGTCATTGATTTCTTCCGAAGGTTTTGACTTACATGAAATCAGTGAGGACGGTGTGTGCCCCGCTGGCCATTGCCTTGAACTCCACCCCCTCCATGTCCATGTCTTCTGGCTGCGACCATTCCACAATGTTACCTAGAAATACCAACGAGACATCATCAATGTTAATCTCTGTCAGGGATTTCTGCTAAATTAACCTTCCTCATTCCTCCAAAATCCTCCACTGGGCACCGCCCACTCGCAGATTCCAGATAAATTTAATGTACCGTTAATAGTGGCTACCTATGTACTTCTTAAATCTTTGAAAGCATCTACGCAGGAGGGTTATAATGTTAAAGATAAGTCTAATTTCAATAGTTTTTTTTTATTCAATTCAGTAGACAATTATTTTGAACTTTCTGATGAACCAATACAAAGTGGGATAATATAAATCGTAGGGCCTTATACAGTGATGTTTAAAAAAGAGAAAAATGAAGGTAAGTACCGCCAGTAACAAAATAATAGTTTGAAGCTACAGGTAGTTAAAGGGAATGTACATCATTGGCTTTTGCTGTAATTTTCAGAAATGAACTATTTGAAGGGCAGAGTGTAATAGATCAAATTTTGTCACACTGACATGTTTGAAGTTTTTTGTTCGAAAATGCTGGAAAAACCAAGAAAAACAAAAATGTTCAAGTAGTCTGGTTCCCTGACTCCACTAAAGATAAAAATGGATCAATTTCCAGATGCCGGAAAATTGTAAGGTAAGGGAACAAGTCTAGCTGGCCCCCACCCGTTCATGAATATGTAACCAATAGCAAACAAAATTTGAACTGAATAAAAAATGGTAAATTTGGAGCAGTAGTTGAAAAATTGTTAGGTTTTCCAACGGTGATCGGCCGACCACCGCTGGAAACGTATACAAAAATACCATTTTCTTGAAAATGACTTCACACCAGGTGCCATAACTTTACAGGATGCTTTTGACTGTTATTTACCAACATCCTAGTAAGGTATTTCGTAAAAACTTGGTAGTTTTATTTTTCGATGTTTGCAAATGTTGTATATTCCCTTTAAACAAATTACTTCATATCTGGAGAAATTACAGATTGAGGGGGGAAAAAGGGGGGGGGGGTAATAAAAATCAATATTTTTCAAACCACCATAAACCTAAAGTAACATTGTGTAGGTTGGTGTCAGATGCATATTGCTTGCTGCATTGGGCTGTCATGCTTTGCTTGATTAGAGCTGGTTGCCCTGGCAGTTATTATCATAATTTGTCTCTAGTCTCAAATTATTTCACACCTGGGTGAACTTTCATTAGGCTATCCATCATTGGATTGTTGTGTCAATTATTATTAATTCAGATCATGAGAGACAAGGATGTGTATTTGCCACAATGAGATTTGTAATTTCAAAAAGTTGTCGTTTTGAATATTTTACGACAGAAATGTATGTGACATTTTGATCCTAATTTCTTTGATATCTACATGTAAGCATCTAGTTTTGGACAAATCAAAGCCAAATTAAATGTTTGACCTGTCAGATTGCCGTGATTGCCTGCAGCCGCTCAGAAAAACATATTTCCAATACAGAAGTAATTTATTTCCACAATTAAGTAGATAGGCCAACATCTTTTGTCCATCCAACAACTCATAAAAAATAAATTTTTGTAAGAAAGTAAACAAGCATACACACATATATACATGTACTATCTTATAAATTTACATGCAAGATCATTTGCATCCAAATGTTAACAAAATAATAATGATTTTCTCGGTTTTTAATGGCCAAACCATTTATTTAATACACACAAATATACATTTGCCTTTTGCTTTGAATTGATACCACCATTAAAGGCCCATTATTCTCAATCTTATTAAACATTTTGTATAATTTCAAGAAAAAGATCAAAATAATTTCACTTATTTCTCCGATGTATACATCTCCTCTCCTACGACTCACTAGTTGATGTCAACAACTGAAAGAAAAGCAATAATGCCAATGACGGAATTCCCTGAATAGGCACAACTCCTTCAAGATGAGTGAGTGATGACGTCTATTCCAAGATCTTGATGACGTACCAGTACAACCACACACGTCTATAGCTGCTAGATCATTGCATGCGTGTGCACGCGTAGATGGTGACGAAAAAAAAACACTGCATACAGTAGTGCACGTTCTTGGACAGTTGAACTGTAGAATATTATTATGCTCAATCCTTACAACTACACATGTACGTACAATGCCAACAGGTAATGCAGACCATTATACCGGTACATGTTTATGAACAAAAGTTGGTTTTATATGATTTTTCGGGGTGGGGGCCCAATTATTTTTTAATAGAGGTCATGCAACATGGATGATGGCAGATTTTGCAGTTTTTATAAATGAGAAAAAAAAATTACCAAAGGAAATTTTTGAATCAGTTCTTATGCTACTTGTTCAAATTACTACGGCCAATTGTACTGTTTTTCTAATGGATTGTGCATTGTATTCACTTAAGCTTAAAAGCCCAAAATTCATTAAAATGGCAACTCCACAATGTGCCATGACAAAACATGAACTTAAATTGGGTACAAAAGCTCCAGTTAAAGGATTACATTTCTCTTATTTTTTTTCTATTTAATTACTTTTCAACTTGTATGTTTTATTCCAAACAAATAAAACTTCCTTTTTTCCCTTTTTTTATTTTTAGGATGAAAAGAGTTTTTTTTGCTGAAAAAAAGGAAAAAACAGATCAACTTTGCAAGCAGACTGGCTCCCAGTCCGTACATTATTGATACTGATTTTGGGGTGGGAACCAGCCTACTCCGTGAGGACAGAATTATCGTCTGGCGGCCATTATTTGAAAATGCAAAGTAATATTCAATAACTAAACATGGGTTGAATGTTTTTCAGTCAATGTCATATTCAAATGTGAATATAATTTTATAAACTTGTGTACTGTTAGAAAAATAGTAATTTAGGAAAGGAATCTATTTTTCGGGATAAAACTGGAAAATAACACAGAAATGTTCTATTATGCAGGCCCTTAAATTGTATTCAATAAAACCTTGTTTTACAATCGTGGAGAGCTCTGAAAAAATGAATAACCCAAAGGTAAACTATAATTTATACAAAAGATTAGTATTTTGATTCACTTTTGTGGTTGAATTTTCTTCTTTTTTGAGGTTTCTGATTGACCATGTTTTATTATGTTTTTTCAACATCAGGCACACAAATACCTGCAAAATATTTAAACTCTGCATTTTGATGAGTTCAATTAAATTTTGGAAGCTAATATGACAAATGAATGCAACAAATTAGCAATTACAAAACATTTATAAATGATTATTTTTAACTCAGCTTTCAAGGGTGTCAATTTAAGAAAACATTTTAAGGTGAAAACTCAGGTTTTTGTAATATGTTGAAATGGACACCTACATTCATGACATTGTAGATCACCAAAAGTGCATTTAGATCACCAATATTTGCATTTTGTTCTGCCCTGAATCCCTCAAAATCCTCTTTGCCAAAGTGGAGGAATTTTGAGGATTGAGGTTACGTGGCAAAAGTGCGTTACTGATTTCATAGGATGCACTTTGTCAAGGTCTTGGGGCGGACCTTGTGTTGTTTTTGCTCAGCCATGCATAAATCTAGGCCTGGATTTTGCTTGAAATCCTCCGTACTGCTCCAGGATCTCACTGGCCAAGCCTCAACATTCTGACAGTCACTGCTGCAGGATTTTGCAGGAGCTACATCCGACAAAAAAGCCTAGGGAGTTAGGGTCAAAATGTGCACCACTATCATCAAACTAATATTTTTCAGTTTTTGGATACACATGGCTCAAGGTTTCAAGGTAACACATTTACATACATTATTAAAAATAACATAATGTCAATTCTTGGAAAGATTTCCATATAAGAAGTTCACTCAACACCCTGTGTACAAACCCTATGAGATTGGATTGAAAAATTCTAAGTGTTTTCTAAGAAAATGCTTGTATTTTCTCACTGCTCAAATTGACTTTGAGGACATGAAATTGCTATACATATGGGGGCTTGTTAGTCAACACAGAGGAAAATTAGTGAACTTCTTATATGGAAATCTTTCCCTCACATTCAAATGTATGTATCTTGCATACATTATATTGTATTTGTTGGATCTACCCAAAATTTCATCTCTTTCCCGACTTTTCCTCATTATGACCCAAATGAATCTTTTCTGTCAAAGTTATTTCAATCGAACTGTGCATCATTTATACAATGGGCTCCGTGCATGAACAAGAGAGGGCGCTTTTTGACCACTTTCGAGAGGCCAATGGAAGGGACACACCGTACCACGTGAGCTGTGAGCATACTGGTTTGCGCACGTATAGCAGGAAGAACGCACAACTTATTTTATTATAATTGTGCACAAAGCATAAGTGTCTTTCCTGGAGCATCAGGTGTTATCGGCGATGCTTTCGAATGTCACTTCAAGTGGTCTTCCCAACTCTCCCTTCCTTACTGTTGAGCTATGAGGGGGGTACTTGTGCCCAGGGCCCATAGGTACGTTACAGCAAAGTTCATTCACATTCATGTACATTTGCAAAATTTGATACTTTTTGGGAGAAAATATAAAAATTGTGATAGAAACTTTGCGAGAGAAAAAAAAAAGAGAAAAAAAGTAAAAGGCACAAAGTCTAAAGACACTGTAATTTCAATTTTAATTTAATGTGGATTTGTCAGAAAAGGGGATTAGGAAATGCAAATTTAATTTATAAACATTAGATACCAAGTCACAGTGCATCATCAACATTTTCAGATTCTCACCCTTAACTTAAGTTAAAGCTATAGTCCATCATTTGCAGCCATCCGAAAAGTAACTGGCGTAATTACTGTTGAAAAACAAACTTGGTTGATGAAAGATAGTAAGGGAACTAAACTCCCTGTGAAATTATTCTTTCTGGAAAGCTGTCATTTTGAAGTAATCAACGAAAGAAGGCATTTCCAACGGTGATTCTTAAGAAGCACCGTAGGAAAATTTAAATTAGTAGTTCGTTTTGTTATTCAGCGCAGCGCGCACAAGTATTGGAAGGACGCACACGCGCGCGCGGTTGTTATAATTCGTCGGATCAGTGCGCGACGCCGCGTATAGCTGCAATTACAAAACAAATCAAAACATGATTCAGTAACTTTTGATTTGAAATTGAGATCTTACTCTTAGAATGCTGTTTTTCTCGGAATGTACAGCTGAAGCTTAGCTGAAACTTCATCAGGTTAGTTGCTCAGTATCCTTTGTTTTTTGAACACTTTTGTTGCTTCAAAAGAACAAAATGCACTAATTACAAATGATGGACTATAGCTTTAAATGTACATAAACAAATTTAATAAAGAATTTAAAATGGAATTACATGCAAAACTCGATCAGTGATTAGCACAGAAAGTGTTTACTGTGGAGAGAGGATAAATATATAGCAATGTAAATACTCACCTGATCTTGTGTCAAAAGCCACGACAAATATTGCCACAATGCTGTCAGTGTACCGGCTGAGATCACACACGGAGTTGCTGGCACTAACTGTCACACTGTCTATGCCATTGCTGGCAGAATAACCCAACGAGGCCTCCTTGGCGTACAGGTTCCTCACTGTCTCTCTCGGATCCCGAATGTCTGAGAAATCCTCTTGGTAGTTGACCAAGAGCGGTGTCTTGTCGCTGGTATGGGACGCCATTACGGCGTGAGATTTAGGGCTTTGAAGTACCCGATGAACACGTTGGATGTTTACACGACGAACTGACAAAACCGGAAGTGTATGAAAACAAGCGCGCACAGCTGGCTATGCTGAGTGCCACGCTCTCTGTGTACGCATATCGCCCGCAAGTTTGCAGGTTTTCTCAACGGTTTATGCTATTTATACATCCAATAACTAATATTTGCAAACTAGTCAACTGTACAACCCAAAACTTCAACGAATACCGGTTGATTCACGCGATGCTGAAACGTTGAGGAAGGAAAACTGCTTACTCGCACTAGTCTAGTCGCAGTCTAGTCGCACCTGCTTGGTCGGCCCGGTGCTTCACAATATCGACAGAGGGCGCAATTCGAGATGAAAAGCTCGTCAGTAAACGTGTCGTCGACATGCGCTGGCAAATTTCATTAAGATGTAAGACACTATTTTCACTACCGTAAGTTTGCGCTTGTTTCTTTCCTGTGTCTGCGCCCTAAGTTGGAACCGGAACTCTCACGTATGACATTCTGTATACTCGTGACTCACTCATGAACCTTCTCAGCCTGAGCTCAGACAGTCGATCTGTTTTCCTTCCTCCATTATTATCTGACTGAATGATCAGTCAGTCAGTCACTCATGCAACTGTCACTCAGTTCGTCAATCATGCAGCGCAGCCAGCCGGCCAGCAACTCGGCAATGCAGTCATGATGAGCGACACTTAATTGTTCATGAAACATCCGTCATTTCTTTGGTCTTTGCAAATTCCGCGAACGTCACCGCCCAACTTCCATGGGCGTCGCCAGGATGGAGCAAAAAATGTTCCCCCGCCCACCGTAGCTATATTGGGGGTGGGGGCGTGGGAACCACAAAAGTTCGCGCCCCCTCCCAGTCGCCCCCCCCCCCCATTTGAAATTTGGCATCCGGAGAAAAGCACAGCCGTATGAGTTACGATGACTAGCCGGCCTCGAACATAAAGTCCCTTTTCCCGCGAGCCTTATTGTGCGTATTTTTAACCCAAAACCCTTTGTTTTCGCCAGTGGCGAATGTGCGAGTTAACCACGCCCCTTGGACAAACCTAAGGTACGTTGACGCGATTCTACCGTGATTGGTCAATAGCGGCAGTTATTTTCAAACATTAACCATTATATAGGTTTTCTGTCCAGCCCCCCCCCCCCCCCCCGCTTCCCCCCTCCCCTACCTTTCAGATAAACGGATGAAATTTGTTGCCCCCCCCCATGTAACTTCAAGTCCCCTCCCCCCTCACGTCCCCCTAGGATGAGGATCCTGGCTGGGCTACCTTTTATTCAGGAAAATTCCCCCGTTTTTCCTGAAACCACATCGAACCAATATCCGGAACCCAATACACGCGTTTCCCATACAATTATTCAGTTCGATGAATTTCATTTTGTATGCACAGGGGCGGATCCAGGACTTTTCGTAGGGGGGGGTGTCATGGGCAAAAAAATCTGAAATGTAGACAGGGCTTTCTCTCCGGACACTTGGCCTCCCAAAATCAATAGGTCGGTGGGTGGGGGGGGGGGGGGGGCGGCTCGTTCCATACTTTCAATTGGGGTGCTGTTGAAATCCGTCGATTATCAACACTTTATCACAGAACAGTGCACACAAAATTATACCCCCTAACTTAACTGGCTCTGACCGTATGTTGTGCAAAGGCGTACGTTATTACATGGAGGAATACTTATTCCTCCATGGTTATTACCAGTACAAAATGTTTGGGTGTCAGAGCAGGGGCCGGGGTTCACATTTTCATGATCTTCTATGGGAAATGACAGAGCGGGGGGGGGGGGGTCTCCTTGATCCGCGCCTGATGCAGACCCAATAATTGCACGCATAACCTATGCTTGCAAAGCAATTAAACTACTTTTACAATGATGTACATGCGGAGAGACGGACTCGGAAGTATATCATGACTTATCCCTGTTACTACACGTACATGTATCCTGTTATATAAAGAAAAGCTTTAGGATCGAAAGCCTATTGTTCGGTTGTCAAGCATGGCCCCCTCTGTTGAAAGTGGTAACCATGCCCGGACAATAAACGGCCGTGGAAAAGCTGAATGCTCTGGCCATGAAAAAAGAAGCTTACACTATAGTCATGAATAATGACTCATTGCTGCCGGTACTTTATTATTGAGGCATATTCATATTGGCTTGTATGCTAGACGTGGGCTGTCACTTTTTTTACAACTTAATAAAAACGCTCAATCACACGATGAAATTTTCACATAAAAAAAACCTAGCTGTAAGCCGAGCATTTTTTACTGAAAAAGTCTAGTGACGAATGACTGAATGAGAATGATTGTTGGGGAAAAAATGTTTGATGTTGTCGTGTTGATGTCCGTAGTAGCGATACTCTGCGGTCGAGTGGTGATAGCATGTAAGTATAAGTATAGTGTAGTAAGTTCAGTTACTTCCTTGTCATGGGACGTTAATCGTTGTGGGAAAAGTATAAAGTCATTAACAGAGGGGAATAATTATACACTGACAAAAGTTTGCACAGTTTTTAAATTAGAACTAATTATGGCAATTAATTGCAATCACTGTATAATAAGCCTGTTTTCTTTTTCAAGCAATCAGCTGGCACCTTGGTTAATGAATAATATCTTCATGCAGAACAATGAATGTTATTTACTATAACACCCCAACCAAAAAAATATAAAAAAAATATAAATCTTATTGTCCAGGCAATAATTGATTTCGAATTGTACCAAAATATTTACTGTGTTATTTGAGTAACATGGGAAGGGGCGGCGGAACTGGGGGCGGGGGGCCCTAGATTTTGGCCATGCAATAAAATGAATGTGCCCCCTCGAGATGAAAACAAAACTGCCCCTCAAACGCACATTGAAAGAATATGATCGTGTTACAAATAAAATTGTCTCCTCTCTTGTAATGCAAAATTGTCCCTCAAAAACACAAGTGCATTAACAAGATTCCGCACCTTCTCGAGATGGAAAATTACCCCTCGAACGCATAAATACCCCTCTCGCAATGATAAACTTGTGCCCCTCTCGAGATGGAAAATTGGCCCTCAAAAACAATAGTGCTTCTCAAGCGATAACTTCTCGAGATGTAAAACTACCCCGCGAACTTGAGCACACTTTTATAAGTGCCCCGCTCGCAACATTAAAATTTCGCCCCACTCATGGAAAGCTGGCCTTTAAAAATAATAATGCTCCTCCTCACGCGAATAAAATAGTCGCTGAACTGGCAATCAAAAGCACCAGTGCCCCTCTCGCGATAAAAAAAAATGGTCTCTCTTCTTTAGTCAAATGCATGGGTGGACCCAGAGAGGTTACTGCCGGGGGCGGAGGGTGTACGGTGTGCCGAAGGCCCAAGAGCGGATCCAAGGGGAGGGGGGGGGGAACAACGGGGCCAAACCTCCCCGTCCCCCAACCCATTTTTTGTCACAAAAAAGGAAGCCATTACGAACACCACCACCCCTGAACCCCATATCGTGAATTTCTGGACCCACTTCTTTGGGGACCAATTTTTTTTTTAGCCACCGCCCCCCCCCCCCCAAAAAAACCCCACCCAAAAATTGTGTTTTGGATCCGCCATTACGGAGACCGAGGGCTCTCACTTTCACACACTGACGGATGGTGCCCCTTTTCTTGAAAGTGAACCCTTTTTGGTGTTGCCCCCCCCCCCCCCCCCCCCGTTTGAAAAGTGTTCCGCCTCCCCTTAACATGGGTTTGACATGTGCGCTGGATATCAGAGTATGCTAACATGGTTAGCTTACATGCACATGTACTTGTAGCGAGAAAAGTAATTGCAAAGATGTTATCCAACTTTTCAATACTTTTTTCGACCCAAGTTGATTACCCGGTCCGCCTGGTCGGAGGAGCCAATAGCTCCGAGGGTCGCGTGGAGGTCCTCATCAACGGTGTTTGGGGAACTGTGTGCGACGACAGTTGGGGTTTATCGGACGCGATGGTCGTCTGTCGTCAGCCGGATCTGGGTGAAGCATTGTCAGCTCCTCTAAATGCGCACTTCGGCCAAGGGAGTGGACCCATTGTCATGGATGACGTCGGATGCACTGGGTCTGAGACGCAGCTGTATTCTTGCTCATTTACAGAGAACCATAACTGTGGACATAGCGAGGATGCAGGAGTAATATGCAGCGGTTCATCGGGTGATGACTGATCCCATTACATTCCATCATTCCCCATCGTACCCCATTCCGTCCATTCCCAAAATGCAGTCCTGTCCAGCGGCATGCCAACCAATCTGACCTCACACGCCTCCGATTCCATCCCAGTTCTCCCCACGGCATTCACATTATACCAACCCATCATCCCACCCCAATCCTTTCAGTAGCATAAATAGTGTCCAATTTCCTTGAGACAATATACCTCAGTTTGAGTTTGTCAACGTTGTGAATTGGGGTTCAAAATGGGACACGGGCTTCGGGTAGAAGGGGGCATGTACCCACTTTTCCCACCTCTTTGCTTTACGCCACTGATCTCATCTTGGTATCCCACCCCATCCCATCGACAGAGCCCATCCAATAATCCTCTGCCACTCGGTCCCAACAAAATACTCATTGTTAATGGAATGTTTGTGCTCGGCTAGTTTTAAACAAAAATTTTTTTAAGAGCATTTAAAACCAGCTCGGGGCCTGGACGCGGATAATGGCTCCGAGCTGAAGGCTTTTATCCACAAGATTCGATATTTTCAGTGGTGTTATTATTGAAAACGAACAAAATGCATGAAATGTAGATGATCCGATACGCCTTTAAATAACTGAATTCGTATATCATTCTGGCTTCCTCTCTTCTGTTATAGCCTCCTCGTACCAAGTTCGTCTGGTCGGGGGAGCCACTAGCTCCGAGGGTCGCGTAGAGGTTCTCATCGGCGGCGTTTGGGGAACCGTATGCGACGACAGTTGGGGTTTATCGGACGCGATGGTCGTCTGTCGTCAGCTGGATCTGGGTGAAGCATTGTCAGCTCCTGTATCTGCGCAATTCGGCCAAGGGAGTGGACCCATTGTCATGGATGACGTCGCTTGCACTGGGTCTGAGACGCAGCTGTATTCATGTTCGTTTACACAGGAACATAACTGTGGACATAGCGAGGATGCGGGAGTAAAATGCAGCGGTTCATCGGGTAATGATTCACGGGGTACCATTGCATTCCATTATTCTCCGATTCCATCCCAGTTCATCCCATGCATCAAAACGTTATACCACCCATTCTCTCAACCCTTTCAGTGGCGTAAACTAGTGTTTTGCATTGATGCACTTGACACAATCCTACGCTGTGTCACTGTCTGCGTGACACAAGGCATACGGAGTCCGAAATACAAGGGTTAATAATTGTGAAACTTCGCCAAATTGGGTTTTGATCTTTGCAATTTGAGTGTGGTTGTTATTGAAAACGAAAAAAATGAATGAGAAACAAAATAATGACATGCCTTTTAGTGTAAATTTGTATCATTCTGGCTTCCTCTCTTCTGTTATAGCCTCCTCGTACCAAGTTCGTCTGGTCGGGGGAGCCACTAGCTCCGAGGGTCGCGTAGAGGTTCTCATCGGCGGCGTTTGGGGAACCGTGTGCGACGACAGTTGGGGTTTATCAGACGCGATGGTCGTCTGTCGTCAACTGAACCTGAGTGACGCAGTGTCGGCGCGTGGCTTCGCGCACTTCGGCCAAGGGAGTGGACCCATTGTCATGGATGACGTCGGATGCACTGGGTCTGAAACGCAGCTGTCTTCCTGTTCATTTACACAGGACCATAACTGTGGACATAACGAGGACGCGGGAGTAATCTGCGGCGGTTCATTAGGTAATGATTGGGTACTGATTGAAGATGTTAGTTTGCCCTTAATGGTGAATCAATATTCATAACTATCAAACCAAATAATTATTACTCCATCCAATACTCCCTCAAACTCGTCTCGTGAAATCAACCATTTAATCATATCGTCTATATTCACTTTTCTTTCCTACTCTCCCACTGCCCCCCTCTCATCTCATCTCACCTCGCCTTGCTAAACCCCTGCACTCAAATCCAGCCCACCCTTTCAATTTCTACCTTAGCCCTACTCTATCTCAACATACCGGCGAGCGCCAATACAACACAATCTTACCGCATCTCAACCCACCCTATACCACACTCGCCTTTCCTCGCCTCAATACTGCACTCTTGCCAACCTAAATCTCATCTCACCTCAACTCACTTAAATTCACACTTCCGCGCCCCAACGCACATAACCTTACTGCAACAATACTCGTCATCTCCACTCATCTCACCTTTATGTTTTGATAGATGGAAGGTATAGGCCTATATGTCTTAAAGTGATCGTCGTCTTAAGCCCGGTTCATACTTCATGCGAAAGCGAATGCGAAGCGAAGTTGACGTCATGAAACATTCGCTGCGAAATTCGTCCGAGTTGAAATGTGTTCAACTTTTGCGAATTCGCAGCGCGAATACTTGCCATGTCGTCACAAATTTGCGTTCGCTTTCGCTTTCGCGCCGATTATATGAACCGGGCTATTACACGGTCACCCACCCGTCTCCGATTCCCGTACCTTGAAATGTCTCACTACAGCTACCGCCACAACCTTTAATTGTTACCAAAACATCTGGTTTCATCCCTTTTTTTCAAAATATAGAATCTGGAACTCTTCGCTTGGTGGGAGAAAATACGTACGAAGGTCGAGTTGAGGTGTATCACGATGGCCTTTGGGGAACCGTCTGTGACGATGGCTGGGACGTTGATGAAGCCAACGTGGTGTGTAACCAGCTCGGTTTTCACGGAGCGTCGTCGGCCGAGTCCAACGCGCACTTCGGCTCCGGCAACGGTTCCATTTTTCTGGACGACGTGGATTGTGCAGGGGACGAGTCCAGGCTTGTGGATTGCTCCCACAACGGCTGGCTGGTGCATGACTGCTCTCATCAGGAGGATGCCGGAGTTCGATGCAACAAAGAAGGTAATAAATTAAAGGAATCAATTAAATGTCCGGGATATGTAAAGATTGAGCCGCAATAGTGTGTGCCTTTGTGTGGATAGTTTTATGGCCAGGATTCAGAACAAAAGTTACTTTGCTGGAATTTATCTGTTATGAATTTATACATTTTCAACGTGATAGCTGATACAATGAGCATTTTGCGGATAAAGCTTTTCTTAACTTTACATCGGATATTTAAAAATATAAAGGATGTCATTGCTTTTCATGCAGCCGGGCGATAAAGGTGACTCAAAATCCCAATTCTCATTTGCACTAGTGATTGTGAAAAAAATATTAGTTCGTAATCTAATGTCTATTTTCCTCCTATACATATCAGCCTCCAAGACTCTGTGGTACGTTCTCGGTGGAACTGTAGTATTTATCGTTTTAATTTGCGGCCACATACACAAGAAGTACAAACAACGTGAGCAGTCGACATCAGTTACGACGCCAGTACCGACAGCATGCGCCAGACACCCTCTGTCTACGGGTACCACATCGACATGCACCTCAAGTCCACCGGAGGTACCGAGACAGGTAAACAGTTATTAAAGTATGAAAAAAATGAAAAGTAAAACTGCTGCAAACTGCTTACTGACTGGATGGACCTGAAATATATAAATCTTAAAATTAATGTGGCCTGACGTTGCGAGCTTAGCAAGTTCTTCTTCAGAGGCTAAAACAGAAATGGCAGAGATACATACATTAACATGGGGGTGCACACAAACATGCAGGGCTGAAAGAAGAAACACAAAAGGAGGATTAGGAGGGAAAGGTGTGGAAAGATGCAGGGGAGGGTGGATGAGAGAACAAAGAAACAAAGGGAGATGGCAAACCACAAGGGGTCTGGTGTAAACAGGGGAGGGACCAGAAAGGGGAAGGATCAAAGGTCACAGGGAGTGGGAACGGACAAAAGAGTGTGAGAGTGAAGGGATGATGCGGGGGGGGGACAGTATAGAGGTGGAAAGGGATGAAAGATGGCGGGAGATGTGTTAACACAAACAAGGAAGACCAGATGGATTATCTGTAACAGAGGACAATGGAGGAAGAAAAGGATTAATCATTTCCAAGTTGGATGTTGAGACCATGTGGTTGAATAGTTCGAAGACGATTCATCCACACCTTCTCTCTGCTGAGGCGAACTGACTCTTTGCGATGGCCAAGAGATTCAATGCCCTGCAAAATCATATCAGAAATGGAGTGGTTAGGCAGGTTGAAGTGATGACCAACAGGGGTGTCTAGTTTCTTGGTGTTGACCGTTGACCGATGGGCATAGAAACGCTTCTTGAGCGTATTCTTAGTCTCACCTACATACTGCACTCCGCAGACCCTGCAAGAAATGAGATATATGACATTAGAGGTGTTACAAGTGATGTTACCAATGGTTCTGTGGGTAGTGACAGAAGAGTGGCCAGAAAAGGAGTCAGACTCCTGGATATGAATCTGGCAGACAACACATCTGGAACTGCACTTGAAAGTACCATGCTGGGTGGGAGGGGATGCATCTAAGGATGGGACTTCAGCTCGAACAATCAAGTCCCGTAGATTTCGAGGACGCCTGTAAGCCAATGTGGGGCCGTTGGGGATGGCGCGGGCAAGGCGATCTGAAGTATGGAGGATATGATGATTGTCATTAGTGATTTTGCGGAGGGGAGGGAGATTGGGGTGAAACGTGGTAACCAAGGGAATCATGGGTTTGGCCATGGCATCAGGGGCCTTTCCCATGAGAGCTTGATTTCTGGGGATAGATTTAGCTCTGGCAATGGCACGATGAACTTGGCGAGAGCTGTGACCCCTGGCCACCAAGTTGTTCTTCAGTATCTGTGTATGGCGGGAGAAATCGGAATCATTAGAACAAATTCTTCTGAGTCTGAGTGCCTGGCTAAACGCTATGCCAGTTTTGCAGTGCCTGGGGTGACAGCTGGAGGAGTGGAGGTACTGGTGGGTGTCTGTGGGTTTGGAATACAGGTCAGTGGTTAGTGAGTTGCCTTGCTTGCGGACGGTGACATCCAGAAAGTGGGTTTGGTGAGCCGAGAACTCCGATGTGAATTTGATGGTTCTGTGGAAGGAATTGATGTGGTTAGTGAAGGTCAAGAGACTGTCCTCATCACTGGTCCAGATGAAGAAAACATCATCAATATATCTCCACCAGATCCAAGGGCGACATGGGGCCGAGGCAAGAATGCGTTCTTCGAGGTCACCCATGAAGAGGCAAGCCATCGACGGGGCCATGCGAGTGCCCATTGCAGTGCCGTGTACCTGTAGATAGTGTTCACCAAGGAAGGAAAAATTGTTCTTCGTTAGTATAAGTCTCATGAGGGTGCCAACATCACTGATGGGAGGAGTCGTGTGTCCTGCCTTGGCCAGAGCCAAGGAGCAAGCACGAACTCCCTCCTCATGTGGGATGTTGGTGTACAGAGATGAGACGTCGAAAGTCCCAATGATGGCTGTGCTGGGAATCTGGTCCTTGATTCCTTCAAGCTTGCGTAGGAAGTCTGGGGTGTCGTGAATGTATGACGAAATCTGTGGGACAAGGGGTTTGAGAAAACTGTCAATGAACAGGGAGATGCGTTCCGTGGGTGAGCCATTACCGGAGATGATGGGTCTACCGGGGTTGCCAGCCTTGTGAATCTTGGGTAGCAGGTAAAATCTGGCAGTCCTACAATCACAGGGAGAAAGAAATTTGTGAGCTTTCTTCGACAACTGGTCACGTGATCGCATATCGTCAAGTACCTGTTGTATATCTTGACAGAAAGTGCCTGTGGGGTCAGAGTCAAGGCGGGTATAGTTAGTGCGATTATCCAACTGGCGGTGGGCCTCATCAATGTACTGCTGACGATCCATGATGACCACAGCTGAACCTTTATCTGCTGGCTTGATGATGATGTCGGTGCGAGAGCGCAAGGAGTTGAGAGCCAGGCGCTCCTCTCTGGGGAGATTATCATGAGTCCTGTGGGGGAAGTTGTCCGGGTTAGTGACTTGGGAATTGATAACTTGAACGTATGTCTCTATGGCTGGCACACGATTCTTGGGGGGTACCCATGAACTCTTGACTCGAAAAGGCTCTGGCTCACACGGTTCACTGTCCAGGAAAAACTCACGCAGGCGGATTCTACGGTAGTATTCCGTGAGATCTTGGCTGAGCTGAACCTGGTTCACAGAACGGGGAGCGGGACAAAAATTGAGACCCTTGGAGAGAAGTTTGTGCTCTGCGTCAGATATTGATGAGGAAGAAAGATTAACTACAGTGTTGACAGGGGGTTCTGGCGGTGGCGTGGTAGATGGGGACCTAGGACGTCTGAAACGTCTGTGTCTGCGTTGCTGTTGCTTGGCAAGCAAGCCACCAATCTTCTTGTTTCGCCTGTTGAGTAGGACAGAGTCAAGGTTAGACAAACCCCTTTCAATCTCATCATGGAAATTCCTGTACGTGGAGTCAGAACAACTGGATTTGAGTTGGGAGTCAAGGTGGGAAATATTCTGATGGAGGTCCTCACGTGTAAATTGACACTGCTGAGAGAGAATATTGATGAGTTTAATAGAGGCACCATGTAGAACTTGATTCCATCTCCTTTGAAGGTGTGGTGGGAGGTTTCCTAAGCAGGGAGTGTGAGACAGTTGCAAACCTTTGGGGATAAATCGAGAGAGGGAGTAAAAACTGTAGTTATCCTGATGGTAGGAAAAGCGTAAGGCCTTTTCCTTTGCCTTTCTGAGCTGTTGGAAAGTGCAAATGGTGTCACTCATATCTGTAGAAAGGGAGAGAATAAATGGTTAATACAATAAATCAGTGGAGGAACACGAAGACAAAAAGTACAAGTCAAATGGAGTTGCTCATGCCTTTTGAAGGGACAGAGCAAAACAAAATTGTAGGTACCTGTAGTAGGGAGAGAACAGTTTGATTAGTACATGATATAAAACGATCCAAAGAAGGAACAAAACACAATGAAACTTACATGACAGCAAGGAGGATCACCACGAAGGGATACTGCAACAGAGGAGTTGAAACATGAAAAAAAGTAAAACTGCTTATTAAAGTAATCAAGGTTTTTTTCAAATCAACGTTGAGTCTTGTATTTTGGAGTCATGGTCGTTGCCGTCACTGCTTGTAACCCAAACCAAAAAGGTGAGATTCGGCATACTATAATTATGTAATCCTTTATTAGGGCATGTGAATTTTACAGTTTAGGGCGTGGTTTAGATGATCACGAATTGTGACGTCACGCCAAGTATGCGCAGAAGTTGAACACAGAAATGATCTGGTGAAATTTGCCGCGAATGTTTCATGACGTCAAATACGTTTGCAAATGCGAAGCGAAATATGATGTCGGAAGACATTCACTGCGGAGTGTGTTCAACTTCTGTGCATACTTGGCGTGACGTCACAAATTCGTGATCGCCTAAAACACGCCCCCCCCCCCAAAAAAAGTGCAAGCTGTAAGACTGCCTGTTCTGAATGAAACATTCTAGGCCGAATCTCACCTTTTCGGTTTTGGGTACAAGCTGCAACAGCAACAACTCGCAGCGAGAAAATTTACCGTGACGTAAACTCACGTTCAAGTATGAACCGCCTTTTTGTTGTTGTTGTTAAATCTTTCAGGACATTACTCCAAGGTTACCAACAATAAGTGCTGCCGTTAGAACGCCAGATGATCAACAGGGGCCGACCAATGACTACTCTACGTGGGAAACGACGTTTGTGGCTACCGCAGACGACACAGCGCCTGGACATGACGTCTACACGCCTGCACCACAAACCTCCATAGATAACTTGCCGCCGCCACCTTCGTACGACAATCGTATGGCGCCTTCGCGAAGAAATCTCTATTCGGTAGCAAACTCACAACCAGAATTAACCCCAGTAGATGAATTACCACCGCCTCCCTCATACGAAGATGTTATGGTTGGGAATTATCAAGGAACAGTTCATTTTTGATTTGGTTTGGTTTCGGTCGGTCGGTCGCGCTGGGCTGGGTTGATGGTGCCGCCATCGCCATACTGTGCTGCCATCAGTCGCCCACCCTCTGAAAAGTTCAAAATCTCCTACAGGAATCGACCGATCGCGCAATGATATGATTTCAACGCGATTGAGTGATATCGCAGATCCACAGATGGCACCCAACATCATTGTTCAGAAATTAACCGTGGTGAGGACGGAACAAGATGTTTTATGAGGGTAATCTGATGTACACAAAATCTACTTCGTTGTTGGCTTTGTATGACATAGGAATCACATATAGGCCGATAGACTGATAGAAGGCATTTTTATTTCAATGTTGCCATTTCCACACTAATGTTACAATGTCGTGTAAACTTATTATACAGAGCAAAATATAATGAATTATGTAATGGTGTATTATAACGTACATGTACATAGATCAATTATAATACAAATATTTAGGTATAAGGTGAAGCGTCATGCTTTTGTACACTAACCTATATCGATAGACAAGTGGACATGACCGAAAAAAAACAGAGACAGTGACAAAGGACAAAATGGCCAACAGTCAGACACACAAAGACACGACCTTGAAAAACACAAAGTCGTATGAGACAAGAGTATACATCTAGATTCATAAATTATAACAGATTATTCGAATAAGAATTGAGTAGATGTGATCTAAGGTTAGAAGGAGGGTGATGATTTTAAGAAGTCATCTAGACTATTCCAGTATGACGTACCACGTTGAATAACGCTATTTTAGACAATGTTGTTATGTTAAATTCGACATATAAATTTCTCCTTCTACTGCTTCGGGTATTATACGGCTCCATGCGTTATATGAATTGGCTGATGCTTGTTCATTTTCAAGACATTATTGTACTATTATGTGTTTTTTTACGGCTGGTATGATAACCTGCAAGCAGTGGTGCAAATAATGCCCCCAGGTGAGTGTCTGTGTCCCCCCAGGGGAGTTTTTGTTCCTCCGTTCGGAATCTTGAATTTATAAAGAGAAATATACAGCTAATACTCTTTTTACACTGTAAAATAAACATAAACAGTTTTAACATAAAAACAACCGTTTACGTTTGTACATTGTGTTGTTGGAAGATGAGATACTTGACAAAAACAACCAAATATGACTTAACAACCATTACGGACACACTCTCGCAAAATGTGGTCCGGCAGCTTTCTATACAAAAACCTCGTTGGCTCGGGGTTTTGTACGTAAACCTTATCAGTCAGCCGATCACACTCAATTGACTTCGGCCAAACCGCAGTCCCATCATAAGAAATAAGTTAACAATATTATCCGGACCATTTTTTCCGAGAGTGTGTCTCTAATGACTCTATGTGCCAAAAGTAATTATCGCAGGCGGGAGGAAGATGGACTGATGTTTCGCCTTGATAACGTCTCTCTGAGAACCCGTGTTCTACTTTTCCTATAAATGAAAACTATCCCTACAACTACATGTACATGTGTACATTTGGTAAAGCAAAAATAGTAGATGAAAATTGAAAGAATCGCGCCGTACCAGGGATCACCATTACGGTGCAGTCGAACCCTATAAGAAGAGCACTGTTAAACAACATCCTGCTTATAACGAGCACATTTTAGGTCCCAAGTCTTTGTTTTTCTGTGTTTTTCATTACTTTTAATACAAGCAAAGGTAATTTGTAAAGTCCCAAGGAGCTTGTTATAAAGGTGTTCGACTGTAGCTAAACGTACATCATGATCCATATACCGTGGCAGCTCCATCGACGATGATTGTTTCATAACTACATGTATTTTTATAAGTAAGTTTTGAAACTTTGAAGGGTGGTGGTATAAACTATAGAGTAAAGGTTTGCGGTGACACCATTATGTGGAAAATCTCTTTTGAGAAGAAATGTGGTACTGAAAAGAAGAACTAGTTAATTAATTAACAGGTTCCAATTCAGACCCACATTTCTTCCACTGGAGAGATTTTCACGGTGTCACCGCAAACCTTCTAGTATCGTAAACTAGTTGACTGAGTAATATAATAGCGTGACGTCATGTTCTTTTCATGGAAAAAAAAAACCCATAAATTTTCCATCGAAAAGCAGGGAACCCAGGTAGTGATGAGAGACGTTCTCAAAGGAAGTGCTGCCGTCAGCGCGCACCGCCCTACAACAACAGGGCACTAGGAATCAGGGCTAATTTCTTGGAGATGCATGTAGGCCTGCGCGTGCTTTGGTAGAGACAGAAAGCTTCCCACGATGCTTCGCGCACCTGCTTCCCGCTGATCTCCATCTAACTTCCATCACAACAGTTTGTGCAAGAAATTATCCCTTCCCGGGCCCAGGGTACACCCAAATAAATAGGCCAAAAAGCTGTCCGCCGAGCTAATGACTATACGCTCAAATAATATTATTCTATATCGAGAGTTCTGAGAGCCATGCATGGAATTGGGGAATTGATTATGGCAATGCACCTCTCAGTGGCTTAGACTTTGGGATTCCAATTCCTTATTTTGGGTGCAAATCAATTGGGCCCGAAAGTGGCGCTAAAATGTTCTAGAGGAATTACCTTTCCAGTTTGGGAAACAAAAGTCTAAGTTGGGTGAGAATTTCTCCAAAAAGTCTTCGGTCAACCCACCAAAAATTGAAAAGAGAATGAAGGATGACATGTTGATCATCAATTTGTGTGCAGCCTGAATACCTGTGAGAGTTCTGAGTATTTGTAAAAGCATTTTGAAGTGTGTGGGAATTTTAATACGGGGGTGGTCGGGGTGCATCCATGAGGACAGTACGAGCGCGCGTGCGGCCGGTGACGGAGAATGGACACCATCTGACTCTGGGTGGCGCTATTCGTAGTGCATGGGCGCTGCGCTGCGGGGTCGTGGTTGGTCGTCGTGCATTGCTAGCGTACGGGACCTAGATTCGTTTGGATGTGGCATGCCTGGTCGAACATCATTTCCAAACGGTAAAATCACACTCAAAGATTACTTCAGTAATTACTAATTTTAGCATGTTTAGGGAATATCCAACCTTCTTCGTCCATGCTCTTCAGCTGGTCCAAAGTGGCAAAGGACAAGGACGGATCCAGGCGGGGGGCCCGGGGGGGGGGGGGGGGCAACGGCATGAACGGGGGCCATGCCCCCCTCCCCCCCCCCCCCCCAAAAAAAAAGGAACCAATTTTTTTTTTTTAAGTGTCGTCGCAATGAAGGCAGACACTGCGTACACCACCATGACCACCATCATTTCGGAAAGATTTCCATATACCAAGTTCACTAATTTTCCTCTGTATTGACTAACAAGCCCCCAGATAGCAATTTCATGTCATCAAAGTCAATTTGAGCAGTGAGAAAATACAAGCATTTTCTTAGAAAACACTTAGAATTTTTCAGTCCAATCTCATAGGGTTTGTACACAGGGTGTTGAGTGAACTTCGTATATGGAAATCTTTCCATCATTTCCTCTAAAACAAATGGTTAAAGTGGTCAGAAATTGTCTCAGATCGCAACACAGAATAGCCCCATAGGCCTAGGCCTAAATGTGGCCAATTTACTGGACTACATCCGTAAATAAAGGCCACACTTCCACCATGTTTAAAAACATGTCGAACTTTGTCAAATTTTGATTTTCACATTTAGGCTTAGTTTGTAGTTTATTTTTGCTTTAGAAGCATACTCACCCTCTTAATAGGCTAATCAGAAAGTGCTTCCTTTTTCAGATGTCTAATTTTTGTGAAATTTCATGTTGAAATTTTGATACGCAAACGTGTGCAAACGAATCTGGACATTTCACAAAAAATAGATATTCGAAAAAGGCAGCACTTTCTGATTAGCCTATGAAGAGGGTGAATATGCTTCTAAAGCAAAAATAATTCACAAACTAATCCTAAAATTAATGTGAAAATCAAAATTTGACAAAGTTTAACATGTTTTTGTACATGGTGGAAGTGTGGCCTTTATTTACTACGGAGGTAGGCCTAGTCCAGTAATCTAAGAATCCAAGCCATAATTTTTTTGGACCCACTTTTTGGGGACCACAATTTTGTTTTGCCCCCCCCCCCCTAAAATTGTGTTCTGGATCCGCCCTTGCCTTGCCCCAGGCCTAAACGTCTCTGCAGTCTGTATCTATCTTTCTGTTCGTCCACCACGTACGTACGTGTACAAACACCAATCTTCTGGTTGTCGAATACATCATCATGCCATGACAGTGGCAGTTGGCTGCAACTTGTGCAAGTTACTACCAAACTTGGAAAGAATGTTGCATCCTGATGCCACTTTTTCATCATATATTATCTCAATTAAGGTCAGTCATTGCAAAAATGTTGAAAAAGACAAAAATCGTTATCTGGGACTGAGAAATATTTCCAATTTTTTTGGAAACTATTTTGAAAATGCACTTGACTCTCCATAGACTTTGTAAATTGTACACAACCAAAGAAGTGGGTACTACATTCTAACCCCCAAAGGTATGCTGGTGTCATGCAGATTACTTGATACTTTGATATATGTTGGAGTTTGGGGGAAGAGTCCAACATATGGATGCCATATGCCACCAAACACTTCAATTTTCACCTCACTTTGTGATTACAAAAAAACAGCACAACATTATTGAATGATCGCTGTATGATGTCTAGATCTGTGCTATAGTGGTTGAATTTCACGGATTAATTTGCAACCCCAAAAATAATCGTGAGTATCATTGAAGCCCCATTAATTACTTCGTCTTTGACATGTGGAGATGCCAGTAGGCGCTTTCAAAGGTATTTTTGTCAAGAATTTTGCGTGATTTTTGTCAACTTTTGTGGTGAACTTTGGAAATCGATACATTGAGAATACTTCTTTAGTGGGACGCTAGTACGACGACCAACATCCCACATGTCAAAAAAGGAGTTCTAGCGCCCCAGTTAGTGGGACTAATCTGGCCCAAACAATGACTGTCGGCACTTTTCTCTTTGTTTCTTCAACAGGTTGCCCGTGAATTCTGCACAGTGAATTCTACTCATTGACTAGCATTGCTGTGATATACCAACAAAAGCGTTAAGACCCACACGATGTGCACCGATACATTGCAAGCCAATCGCGACCTCCTGGACCCTCATTTTGACGGCTACAAACTGTCCCTTGACCCTCTCCCAAAGTATTCCGTCGATGTAGAGTGTGGTAAGAACTAGTGGTGGTATTTAATCCAGATTTTTCAAAATTCGGTTTGAATTCCTGCAGCCGGTTTCAATTTTGGAAACCAGATATTCAAAACCATCCTTACAAATATTAAGTCTTCCTTTTTTGTGTGACACATGCGAAAGAAAACAACTGGATCAGCTCCCAATTTTATTTGATTGTAACTGCATTCACTTAGCGAGCTAGCGGCCTTCTTGGTATATGAACATCCTGCCTATTTGACTTATCAGAGAGTTCCCATCACATTTTTTTCAACATTACAGCTGTGGAGTGTTTTTGTAACGGCCCAGTGGTCATTGAATCCTGCAAACGATACCCAGTCATTGGGAGAGCATTTCATGCGGCACCTCACTCGTCAGTTTTTGTTGGCAGGACTGTGAGCTGGATGGGAACTTCCGTTGAAATCAGATAAATTTATTCGGTTCAAAATAAATTGGGATAACCGGATTTTGAAATCTCCGATTTCTCACCACTAGTAAGAACAGAGTCTTGAATAGGTTTTAAAAAAAGAAAAACATGGGAGCAAAGACCTCCAATAATTTTAGTAATGAACAACAGGAGTGAATCGCTATACTCAGTTTCATTAAAAGGAGTTACATCGGTTAAACATGATAATTTGCCACAAATATGTACATGGCAATCGATATCAAAATTTGTGTCTGTAATACATTCTTGGGAGAATTTAATTACCACCGGGAATTGATTCCTCAAAAAGTAGAATCACGATTCCGATATCAGCTTAGGATTTGATTCTATTCGATTCTGACTTGGTATCGTCCAAAGCTATCGTGGTTACCGAATATTCTTGCCTGAACTTTCCCTCAGTAGCTTCCCATGATTTATTTTTCCAGGTATCGATGAGGTAAAGCTGCGGTCCGATCAGTACACCTTGCAGCATGTCAAGGCATTTGGTATTCACAACCATTTGGTACATGACCAGTGGAATCCCAACTGTGTCTTCTACATTGACAAGCGATGGAGAGTGGTTCAACACAGAGTTGTATTGGTAAAGTACACGTTAATCTCACTTTGATTTTTCCCTTTGATTTTTCTCAATTTATGCAATTTAGGGCGGTGCCGAATGGTGACACAGCATCATTTAATAATTGTTGACTGCTGTGATGTGCGATCTTTTGAGTGCAGTTTTAATACCCGAGTGGCGCATAGCACCCGAGATGGGTCTTATAAATGCACCCTACAAGCGCACACAATATATGCAACGCGGTGTATATGAGATAAAATATATGCAACGTAATGTGTCCTATCAAGTAAGTAAAGTTATTTTTATAGGCTGAACACACGGCCATTCTAGACCAATGAAATTACACTATTGAAGATATTATACAACAACTACCATTGCTGCATGGAGTTATTGATCACCTCTACATGTCTATAGCAGGGTAGCCAAGGGGGGATGTGTTTAGGGGGGCGCACATCCCCCATAAAAAAAATTGTCACCCCCGTAGTCAACCCCCACCCCTAGTCAATCCCCCCCCCCCACAGGAAATTTGTTAGTCCAAGAGGTGACCATGGCTAAGGCGTTTAACAGAAATTAGTCCCCCACCCCACCCCCACTGTAACATCCAGCCCCTCCCCCTCCCCCACTCACCCCCCTATGGTGAGAACCCTGGTTACACCCCTGCGTGTTGATTCGTATTTTAGTTTTACAGTTGACCCCTGTCGCATGAAAATCCGACTCCTATGAAAATCGGACCCCTATTTCCCTATTATTGGGAAATAGTGACAGGTCACTCTCCCGAAACGATCCTAGATATAACATAGTATCGTACTCAAGCATGCGCAGTTCTACCAATGAGTCCACATTTCATGGAGTCGGATATTCACGCTACACCGGCCTTTTGTAATTCCACCCACAATTTCCATATCTTCTTGTGATACCAGTGAGAACTTGTCTTTCAATTTGTGCACTTGTATCCCTGTTGACAGGAGTCACAGTTGCAGCCTGGCCGAGTCGTCTTTGAGATCAGCCACGAATGCGAGCAGCGCAGCAGACCGAGGCATAACGCCACGCTACACTTCACTTCCGCGGAGCTCTGTCTCTTAGCCGATGGGGCAGGGGCACTCTACTTGCTGGCTACGGGTGACAGGGATTGTGCCGATCTATCCACATGGCAGGTAAAGCAACTCTTGAAAATACTTTGTAGGGATGATTGTACTTCCTTGACGTCAACGTACATGTTAAGAAATTCGATTTTGGATAAGCTTATGTCCATTTGGACTAGCTACTAGAGCTGGATGGAGCAATTTCATTGGTTACAGATTTACAGATATTGACAAAATCAGAACACTTCCTAAAAATAAAGATGCCAAGGAATTCCTCTGGGCGGTACAAGTGGACTTAATTAGTGCCCTCTTTCTGTTCGCCTGTTTGCCATACTGACTTAAATTTGTGGTATTCCCTCAACAGATACTGTATAGTGAGGAGGTCTGCAGTCCTGCCACGCCCTTCGTGTTGCTGCACTCCATAGCGCAGGCAAAGTCAGCATCATTTGATTGCTTGCTGCTACGAATTGAAGAAGAACAAACAGAAAAGACAGGGGATGATCCGAACGATGCAGTCACGACATCCGGCCATTTCACTGCCTTGCTGGATTGGCTGACAATAGCCAAAGCTGATGGTAAGATAGTATTCAAATATGCAAATTTTTGATGACTTTCATTATTTGAATATTCAAAGTAAGGAGGAAGGACTGAAAAGTCGTGAAATTTGGGCCATTTTGCTGCCTTGCTGGGTTGGCTGATAAAGCAAACCAACATTTTTATATTATTTTTATTTTGTTGATTTGTAATAAAAAGCTGTATCTTCTGAGTGATCCCCGTTTGCTATTTCCCAGGTTTGCAACATTGCTAATGTTGCTAGCATCGTGACTTTGGGCATGATCCCTGGCTACATGGCATAAACAGGTTTATGGCATCTGACTAGCGCCACATTGCCAAATGGGGAACCACCAACATAGGGCTGGAGAGCTCAGTTGGTAGACAACGATACAATATTCTGGAGTTCACAGCTTAATCACACTCGAGTCAATTTCTTGTTGCATTATTATAGAGTCACCTAGTCAGATGCCCTTTCTGGTTTATTTGAGAATATAAATGCAACATACAGTATGTCCCCCCAAAAATTGAGGTCAATTTTGAAAACTGTTGGTTGTGCAGATACTCCTAAGCCTTGGCCTCAACCCCTGTGAGTTTCATTTAGTTTCAGTCATGCGTTACTACTCAATTATCAATTGATCACAACATTTTTGGACACTGACCAGGTTCCTTGTCTTGTTCAAATGCAGTACTGTGTTAAGTAAGCTGTGTAAAGTCCTTCATGTTGTGAAAAGAACTGCAGTTGGGATTGGAATCATTTACCTGGCTATCAGTCATCATAGCAAGACCTCAGTTTAATGCTCAAGGGCAAATTATTCCAGTCTCAAAACCACATCAGCCTTTTTTTCACACCACGCAGGATTTACACAGCTTACATTTACACAAAACAGCACTGAAATTGATTAAGGCATGGAACTTGGTCACAGTGTCCAAAAATGTTGTTGTGATCAATTGACAATTGTGCAGTGATGTGTGACTGAAATGAAATGAAACTCATAGGGGTTGAGGCCAAGGCTTAGAAGTGTCTGCACAACCAAAAATATTCAAAATTGACCACGTGGTTTTGTAGTTATTTTAAAAACAATCGGACGGACACTTTTTGGGGATATACTGTAGAATGATAGAGGTTTTGTTTTGGTTTGTTTCCGTGGCCCGCTAGGTGAATCATCCCATCGAGTGAGTCGTAGACGGAGGTTGAAGAGCAAACTGGCGCCGTTCTATGCTGCCATTGAAGCAACAGGCCAAGCAGTGTTCCTTGCCGGGGAAGCAGAGTTTACAATTACTGAAGACACAGCTAAGACCACAACGGGAGTCCAGGAACAAGACATGGACGTGGAGAAAGACTCTGACACTTCCACTGAAGGTAAATGGCTCATTATTAATTGTTCAATATTTAATATGAACACTATATTACTTATACAGGGTGAGTTAAAAAAACAGAAACCCAAATGTTGGGACCATTGTTTTAGAGAAGTTCTGCGTAACTTGAAAAGTACATGAGTGATTTGAATGATTCTTCTACTAAAAGAAAGCTTATGAATTTGGCTTTCATATCCTACATTTTGAAAGTGCTACATGCGTAACTTATTTCTTACAGTGCATCGCTCCCTGTGTAGTTAGGGGAGAAAGTTCCCTGTAATAAAATCACCACTTAATATAACAAATATTATTTTAATGCTTTAAACCTGTGGTGTTTTTATAAACTTACTGCAATGCCTTATTTTCTCCACCCCCCTCCCCCGCCCCCCAAAAGTCTTGGACTTCAACACCCCAGCCATCCATTGGAAAATTGTGGAATCTAGGACCATCAAGTGCTGAACCAACAAAATTTGTGTGGCTTCTGACCAGCACCCCTTGAGCAAAGACATTGACAAAATGGGCAACCGTCAACATAGGGCTGGACAGCTCACTTGGTAGAGCACCGGAACGGTAATCCGGAGGTCGCAGGTTCAAACCCCACTGCGCTCAATTTCTTTGTTCAACTGTATAATAACTATTAAATCTTATTCTAATCACAACAGCTGCTCCTCTGTACACCTGGACCCAAACCGGCGACGACGTGACTCTGGTCTTCATCCTACCCCCATCCACACCCAAGTCTGCTGTCAATCTCACACTGACTGCTGATACCATAAACCTCGGCATCAAGGACGGCGATGAGCTGCTAAAGGGTGCCCTCTATAGAGCCATTGACGTACAGATGTGCACTTGGATACATGAAAATAGAAAGTAAGCGAGCAAAACTTGATCCCTGACCATTAAACCTGGCAAAGCTGCCGCAGTGGTAAAGGTCGAGACTCGTTATCAACAAGATGAATCAAATGCAGTCTTGGGTACTTTGGCAGTGCTACCCAGAAAATACCCAGCATACCTCACAGGCTCACAGGTGCTGTATTCAAGCTAATGCACGCACCTGAGGTATGCTCAGAATTGTCTGGGTAGCGCAGTTGAAGTTTCCAAGACTGCATTTGATTCATGTTGTTATTAATAGCGCCCTCTACCGCTTGCCGCAGATTTAGTGTACTCATCACAGACCAGCTGTTGGACCAAGACCACACAATAAAAAGTGCTCCAGTTGATGTATGACGTCTGCTTTTGTAGGTTGGAAGTAACACTGGCCAAGGCCGAGGAGGGCTCTATGTGGACCGAGGTCGTCATCGGCAACCAACGCGGGGATTACGTGATTGATCAAGATCAGGCCAGGATCATCCATGAACGACTCGCGCATCTTACGTCGGATCAACTTGTGAGTACAGTGATCACTCAAAAGCTTCATAGAATTATCTTAGATGATAAAACAGTGTGGTTGTTAGCAAGGTTTGTTGTAGAAATTTCTAATGCATTTGTGTGGTTATTTTTTCACTGGTAACCAGCACCCAGACCCAGTACCAGGAGGCAGTCAGCCAGGGATAGGGCCCAATGACTTGGAGGAATGCGACGCTCTATCAGACGGATACTCAACGTTAGTAAGGCTGGACAGAGAGTCACATACCGTCACAAACAGGGTATGTCCCCTGTGAACATGATGCATTGCTCATACTGGAAATAAATGAAAATTTTACCTGAATCTGCCCTTAGTATGGGCAGTTTGCTTCCAGCTTTGGAATACAGATTTGAAGATTTGAGGCAAGCAAATTTTCCTTTTTTTTCACTTTCCCTGTTTCCAATTAATAATGGAAAAATGCTGTAGAAAGTTTTGTAAAATATTTTTTCCTCATTTTTGATGACTGTTCCGTTGGTTGTCACTTCAAGAATTCTGAACTTTTGAACTTGAAGAAAAGTGTAACACAATTTCACATTTCATTGAGTCATAGTGGATGTCAACTGAAAAATGGCAGTTTCAGTTTTCTGCAAATTTCAGTTTTCTTCAAATGTTGCTACACAAGTTAAAGAAATGAAACAAACTAAAAAAATTATTCAGAATTTGAAAAATGTGTACTGAACTTTTGTTAAATTTTTTTAAGTTCAAATCGCTTTTGTACATTCTCTGTGCTGTTTTCTTCAAAAGATAAGTCTGTTGATTCCAATCTATTTTTCTGCTGTAACGCTTCATTTGTTACATTCCATCTTGTGTTTAGGTAAGCCTCAGCAGTCACCAGGTCCTGTTTAACGCCCAGCTTCATCCGCAGAGGCCACCCTGCATCTGCCTCCGCCATGATGTGGATGGGTTGCTATGGCAACCTGGCATTGGCGCCGACGGGGACCACAGATCGCCATGGCAACACACGGCCACCTTCAATGCCCTGGGCTACGTGCAGGCGTCCAAGAGGGACCGCAAGTACTCCTGCTGTCCGCCCGACTGCTCTTATGCCTTGGTCTGCGATTGCGTCCGGCACCTGTATGTGTACCGCCAGCCGTCGGCCATCTTGTCTCCGCTGCGAAACCGGAAGAGCGGGCGCGTGGTCAGCCAGATTGCCAAGCAGCAGCTGGTCAGTCTTGAGACGACCGACGACATCTTGGGTGTCGCGGCTGCCGATGACAGACTCTTTGTTTTGACTAACAACCAACTCTGTGTAATCAGAGTAGCACAGCAATGACAAAGTTGGCTTTGATTAACTCTCAGAGGCAAAAACTGTTTACAAATGAAAAAGTTATTGTGCACTTGGTGTACTGTTGTCTCTGCAAGTACAGAGTATGGGGATCCATCTTTGTACAAGCTGCCTTACAAACTGTACATTGCATTGTCTCCAAGCCAACTTATATTCCAAGCTGCCATTGCACTATTACTCTATGGTAGTCCTATTTTTATTCAAATACATTGTACAATCTAATGGAGTGATATGTATGCCCCATTCACTCTGCAACAAATAAAGATGTGACTGTCTTGAATCAATCTGCACATCTGTCCCTGTCAGTTTCTGAACAGTTTATTGTCATGGAGATTAAAGTTAGGGACCTAAATCAAGCCTATGATTTAATTTTTAAAAATGGGCGGATTCTCCACTCGGTCTTTTAGAAGTTATTTAAAAAAAGAGTAAGTCACACATGTTCAAATGCAAAGACATGAGATGGCAAATTCACATATTCACAGTAAAATTCTGTGGTTTAATATACAACACATGAATAAACGGTGTTCACATAACTCCCATCAATGGCAAAATGGTCGTTCTGTGACTCTATATCTGAGTAAGGTATTGAAGCCAGTGGCGCACGCAAGGGTCACGGGGGGGGGGGGGGGGGCCTCGGGGGGCTTGAGCCCCCCCCCCCCCCCCCAAGAGGCTGTCAATTATTATTACTTTTTTTTAATTTCCACGATTTGCCCTTGGTGATACGTATGCAGCCCATTTTTATAGTAGTATAATAGGGGTGTAAGTGGCGCCATCAATCCCAAAATATGGGGCCAACATTTTTCTAAAAAATTTGCGCCACTGATTGAGGCAGTGTGTGGACTAATGGGCATGTACAACTGACTTCATGACAGAAACTAAATGGGATCTTTGGCACGTAATTTCTTCTTCTTGAGTGCATGACCCTTCGGCTTCAGCTTGTGTTGATCTATTTGGTGTTGCTTCCTCTGCTCTGCTAACAACGCGTCTTTCTCCTTCTGGACTGCAGCCATCATCTCTGAGGCAAGTCTGTCGATGCGTTCCTGCAATGGGAAAAAAACATTTACAGGGAAGATATTTCAAGATCTAATAACAAATCCCACTGAGATCTGGAATTTTTGAGATTTTATAAAGGTCTCTGTATTTTTTAGTAACACTAATCTCACCCCTGAATCAAAAACAAAAATGGCTTAACTTCACACGTAGTAAAACAAATCTCTTGACTACACTACAGGCACAAGTACCCCCTCAACGGTTACAAATGGAGAGTTGGGGAGACCACTGGGAGGGACAATCCAACGCATTGCCGACAACGCCCGAGGCTCATAATAAAGACGCTAGAGGTGTGGGCACATTCAGATAAAATTAGTCGTACAAGAACCAGTATGCACAAGTGGTGTGTCCCTAACAATGGAGCTCTTCAAAGCTCAGAGTCTCATTATCAGAGTCCATTGTGAATAGACTTTATTCATGAGTCGGCCGTATTAAATTGAAAGCGAGGTAAACTCTTCATTTTTTGGAACTTGTGAGTAGAAATGAAAGCAATGAAATAAAAGTTCATTACAAATTAATACCAGTCTGCTCCGATGAATACTTTAAAACCCTAACCGCCCTGAATCCTTCAAAATCCTCTTTGCCAAAGTGGAGGAATTTGGAGGATTGAGGTTACATGGCAAAAGTGCATTACTGATTTCATAGAATGCACTTTGTCAAGGTCTTGGGATGGGCCTTGTGTTGTTTTTGCAGAGCCATGCATAAATCTAGGCCTGGATTTTGCTTGAAATCCTCCGTACTGCTCCAGGATGTCACTGGCCCAAGCCTCAACATATTGACAGTCACTGCCGCAGGATTTTGCAGGATTCAGGCAGTGGTCACCCCTCCACGGACCATATTCAAGAAATTATGGAGGAATTTGCAGGATTGAGGCTATATGCTATGTTTTCATGAGGCCAATTGGAGGATTTTGCAAAAAGGCCTGGGGAGTTAATGTTAAAAGAAGAAAAGAAGAAAATTTAAAGCGAGGCTTGGAATGCACACCAATCATAAAATAGTCTGACACCATCCCATTCAACAGTTTACAATTAATACAATAGATTCAGGGAACAAGACCCAAAATGGCTTCCTTGTGAATAAGGTCTCTAGGTCACAAGGTGTTATCTGCTGTTCCTGGATGAGGTCCATACTCTTGGATTCCTAAGCCTACAGAAAGTTATCGCTGACTGTGTGACTGGCCTTTTAACTTACAGCAATCTGGCGTTGTTCCTGTTGTCGCCTGTACTGTCCGGATCCTGTTGGGGCTGGACGACCATCTGTAAATAACCAATGCAAATTTACAATAAATGCAAATTAATCCCATTAACACCAACTCCCTAGTACTTCCTCAGGACTACCCTGCTAAATCCAACATTTTGCACCAGGAATGTACACAAGGAGTTTACTGCTCAATCCAACAGGCTCCATTGGGTATGTGACATTGTTGGATCCTGTTGGATTCAGCAGGGTTAGGTTTTAAGATGTACAACCTCTGTTGTGAAAATGCAAAGTATAACTGTCCATGCTGGAAACTTCCCTGGTACATGTATATGATCAATCTTGGTGCGAAAGCAATGCAAGTGGATAAGGGTGGTAGATTTACAGGCCATAACATCTAGATGTGTGCTAGTGGTTCCTCCATATGTGTGGAGTATAACACGACATGCTCAATTTGTTTCCACATTCTGAGCAGGTCAAGGGGGGGGGGGCTCGACATATGATAATACATGTAGCAATACTGAGTGTTTTGAATGTTAATTTGCCCTCCTTGTGAGGCTGCCTTTTCCATACACGAAGTCTATGATCATCAATCTTTTGAAAGACTGGATTAAAAAAGCCACAAGATGTATACTGACCTGCGTATGCCCAATCTGGTAGATCGATAAGTGGACCATAGTCCCGTCCTGATCGAGATTGCCCCTGGCTGTAAATAGAGCACAAAAAATTGTAACGTTTGCCATTAAGTCTGTATAGTATACAAATACTGACTGCTTCGGTTGGTGAAGTAAAACTAGCCTCACGAGGTGATCCATGAAGCATTCTATTTTCCCGGGCTGCGAAGCCGAGGGAAAGTAGTGTTTGGACAGTTAAACTGTTCGACCAGTTAAAGATTATTTTGAACAATTTTGGACTTGAACTTTGAATTTGTTGTTTTTACAACTGTTTGGATTGGAACTTTTACTACCTGTTTGATTTATATGCTGTGGGCGTCCATGGAAATGGGGTAAAATTGAAGGTAAGCCTAAGTTAAGAATTTTTTTCCCCATAAAATATCAAATGACGAGGATCTATTAGGTGTTATGTAAAACAAATAACGAACATATTTTAATTTGTGCAATGCAAGGAATGTTTTCACTCAGTGAAAAATTGAATGGAACAGTCAATCTTTCACCTCATGAAAATACTCCTTTCATTGCACTCATAAACATTCATTATTTGTATAATAATAAGCCTTTGCACTGATGACGTCACACTTTGTTTACGTGTGTGCTTTCCTATGGTGCTCAGTGGACCGTGGGCCCCCACTGGCTTCATAGGAAAGTGCACATGTGCACAAAGTGTGACGTCATCAGTACAGAGGCTTATTGGTACAGAGTTTTTGTAATACCAGCGTTCTTCCGTTCAAGAATCACTAACCTGTCTCTCCAGGTCCTGCCAGCTTGTACACAATGACTGGTACTCAGATACCTGGTTACCATCCAGGGAATTCTGGATACGCTCACTGCTGTTTGTGTACAATACTTGCAGGTCGCTCCTAAAAAAATGATGCAAATTCACAGTAAAATGTAAAAACTGTGCAACGTGCAAATGTATCCTGTACAAAAAGTATGTAACATATTTGTAACTTTAGGTTTGCAAACGTTGTTTATTTACGAAAGCCCATTAGCGCCACTGCAAGTATATATGTTGCGGATTATTTAATTCGTTATTACGGATTATTAATTCGTTATTACGGATTACTAATTCGTTATAACGGATTATTAATTCGTTATTACGGATTATTTAATTCGTTATTACGGATTACTAATTCGTTATAACGGATTATTAATTCGTTATTACGGATTATTAATTCGTTACTACGGATTATTAATTCGTTATTACGGATTATTTAATTCGTTATTACGGATTACTAATTCTTTATAACGGATTATTAATTCGTTATTACGGATTATTTAATTCGTTATTACGGATTACTAATTCGTTATAACGGATTATTAATTCGTTATTACGGATTATTTAATTCGTTATTACGGATTACTAATTCGTTATAACGGATTATTTAATTCGTTATTACGGATTATTAATTCGTTATTACGGATTACTAATTCGTAATAACGGATTACTAATTCGTTATTACGGATTATTTAATTCGTTATTACGGATTATTAATTCGTTATTACGAATTACTCATACGTTCTGAGTCATACTCGGCAAGTATGGCACAGGAGTGCAAACATTGTATGCAAAGATAGCGCCGCCTAGCGGCCCTATATACACAGGCCCCTGGTCACGTGCTCTCCACGTGTGAGAACATCAGACCTAATTCGTAATAACGAATTAATAATCCGTAATAACGAATTAAATAATCCGTAATAACGAATTAAATAATCCGTAATAACGAATTAATAATCCGTAATAACGAATTAATAATCCGTAATAACGAATTACTAATCCGTAATAACGAATTAAATAATCCGTTATAACGAATTAGTAATCCGTAATAACGAATTAAATAATCCGTAATAACGAATTAATAATCCGTTATAACGAATTAATAATCCGTAATAACGAATTAATAATCCGTAATAACGAATTAATAATCCGTAATAACGAATTAATAATCCGTAATAACGAATTAAATAATCCGTTATAACGAATTAGTAATCCGTAATAACGAATTAATAATCCGTAATAACGAATTACACAATCTGTAACATATATACTTGCAGTGGCGCTAATGGGCTTTCGTATTTATTCAACTTAAGGCCAAAAAAAAAATAAGTCGGTCTCTGGTCAGCGCGCGCCTCGATTTTAATCATGCGCGTCGATCTTTTTTTTCCCAAAATGTTCCGCGGTAGCTCCAACAGCGCCCTCTATTTCTGCACCTCCTCAATTTTTTTTACCAAAGAGCACCAAGGAATGGGAAATTGCACCAAGGCAAATGATTGAAAGCACCAAGGCAAATTATGGAGGACACCAATGTATATGAGGACACGAAAAAAACAAAATAGTACCCCACCTTGTCTGTACAAAAAATCCAAGCTTGAAGAAAAAAAAAAAAAAAGCAATAAAAAAAAAAAAGCCGCGTGGCCGCGTCATTTCCGGAACTTTGGTCTGACCAGAGACCAAATATTTTTTTTTTTGGCCTAATAAAGGCTAATTTGGTTTCTTACACAAAACATACACAAAGTAATTGGGGTTTTCATTTGAATGTTTGGAAAAATTAGCATTAATGGATTTTGATTGATTTTTTTTGCTGTTAAGCATTTAAATGTGTAAATGGCACATCTGCGGAAAATGTAATACAGAAGAACAATACTTACTCGCCAACACAGATGCACATGAAGTCATGCTGAGTTCTATACTATGATAACGACAGATGTCAAAGCTAAAAAAAGAAAAAACAATTAAAAAATGTCACCAAAAAACCCACACGTCTAGGTTATTGTACAGCTATGACTTGTCTGAGAAATGGTTCATCTTGGTAGAATGCTGTAAACTGACGTCTACTATTTTTAAAATATTTTTGTTTTAGATATATAAAGTTAGTTATACTTCTAGTATCCAGACGCCACTTCTTTGGTTGTGTACAAAGTCTATGGATGCCTAGTATATTTTCTAACAAAATTGGAAATGTTTCTCAGTCCCAGATTCATGTCTTTTCCACATTTTTGCAATAACTGATCTTCACTGGGATAATACATAGTGAAGAAAGTGGCATCATGATGCAACATTCTTTCTATTATTATGGCAAATACATCATACAAATGTTGAAAAATAATGAATTTTGTGCTGAGAAAAACTTTCAACTTTGTTAGAAAATACATGAATTCCACAACTCCCATTCAATTTTGTGCACAGCCACAAATGCTTGTCAAGATTTAACATTCATCTTTTAGACAGTCTCAGTAAGAAAATGCATAACTGAAAAAATTACGCTCATATCATAATAAACATTAATCATGTTACTAATGTTAAACCATAAACCTATTCTGGGTAATCATGTAGTTTACGACACCTCTATGTTTTACAAGTTCCGTCCATAAATCAAAACCTGGCCCTTTTTCTTTCCACAAAATTAAGGTATCTTAGCGAACTATTTAGATGATTTCAAACACAAAGTGACTTTTCCTGCTTGTATCATTGCCAAATGTTTAGGTATTAAGTCCCAAAACGGAAAAATTTCCGTACTGGATCACCACTTGTTTCCAATTAATTTTCAAACGCCAAAAGTTGCATCCTTTATGGTTATTCCCTCCACTTTCCCTCCTCTACTCTCACCCTCTCCTTTCCTTTATTTAATCAGTCACTTACTTCATCGAGATTCGAACCCCGGACTCTTGCTTGATACACGAGACTTTTAACCGCTAGGCAGCGCACGATCGCTGTTGCAATAATCTTTGGACGTATTTGAAGTATCCATTGAAATAAACTAAATATTCATGAGAAAATAAATATTCATAATGACGTATTGCACTATCATTGGCCGGTACCGCTGTCTTCCAGACACTTCAGTCAGTTTTGACCGGCTGCTTCAACTCAGTTCTGCGCGACGTGTGCATCCAAAATGTTCTCTAAAAACACATTTTGCCTAATTTTTTTTCCGCATTTACAGAGCTTCCTGGATTCCTCTTGGTTGAAATCACAAGGTGAGGTGTAAATTGATGTGTTTGGCAGCAGGTAAAGTGGTGACCCAGTATGGACATTTTTACCCCCAAAACATAAAGTGTCTTTTCGTTCTCTTTGATGGAATGGGTCCTAAAGTCTAAACTACACGATTACACTATTCGTGCCAATGAAAAAGGAGTTGGCAAAAATAACTGTGCATAACTAAAACTAAAAGCAAGTGTTACCGGTACTCATAGAAACTTAATTTCCAACATATTTCAATACAGCAACTGACTTGTCTTGGCATGTGTTATAACACTGCCCCCCCCCCCCTCCCGCCCCCCTCCCCCAAATAAAAACATTTCACACTCAGTTGACACTACACTAGGCCTAAAATTTGAAATGAGTCTGACATGTCTGAAAATGGTCAAACTGGACTTAAAAATATAAAAACCAAGCTCAAGTATTGTCAATTGTATTGTCAACCAAATTTCCAAAAATCGAGGACATTTACATGAAACACAACCAATATTAGGGAACTTACCAGATCCATTTGTACACACATGTCCATGCATGGAAAGTAGAATTTGTATAGCGCCCTCTATAGTCATGCTATAAAAAAGATGTGCTCGAGAGGTTTACTTAACCTCGGTTGTGTTGTGGCTTTGGCTTCAATACTAGCACTAGTGTACGGGAAGGGAACGCATAGTTGAAACCATGTATGAAATGAAGCCCACGTTTAAAAAAACCTGCCCCGCGCCAGAGGGCGCTGTTCTTAAAAAAATCTGCCGGGAAAATTGATCGCCGCCTAGTTGTGCAAAAAAACTAAGGTAAGGTTCGACTTGGGCTTTGAAATTGTGGTATTTTTATGTCATTTGTTTGTTTGCTCTTTCTCCCAGGGTACCATTAATAACCACAATAATTTGTTTCCATTTCAAATGGTTGAAAAACAAGAATTGGGACGGAAAAACGGTAATCATCCGGAAAAAGAATGTGAAAAATTATAGAGTTAAAAAGGCCTATTCAATATTTCGATGGGACAATCACAATGGTCACAGAAACTTTTAAACACAAGCTAGTCAATCCTAAATACAAATCAAATGGCCAAACATGCCAAATGAATGGCCATTGTATAGTTACGGGCCCCACTTTTGTTTTAGTAATTAAAGTGTTGTTAATGTTATTCCAGATCAAGTTCTGCTACTTTTCAGCTGAATTCAGACCCTATTTTTTTTGGTAGAAAATATGTTTTTCTGAGGAAGTTTACAGCTGATGCCATGTGAATCAATGGGGTTTTGTGCATTCACGGTGCGACGTGGTGATCGCCATCTTGTGTCTTGCCATTTTTGTGTTGCATTTTGCCATTGTCATCGCCGTTTTACCGATAAATTTGCCTAAAAAAATCAAAACATTGCCCTTTCTCTAGCTGGAGTTACCCAGCCCTGAGTTTTATCATTGGGTTGTCATCTAGGGCTGGAGCGAGTTTTTCTTGTAACTTGTAGTATAAGCAAAAATTTTGGAAAATGTTCAATTTTGTCCCCGTTACACACTAATTGCAACTGCAACTCACCCCAAACTTGCCTGGAATAACCATTACACAGGTTCTTGAAGTAAAAAACGATCCACGATGAAGATTCAGCCTACAATTGCAGTGAAAACGGGAGGAATAACCGCTAACCTGACAACCTTTCAGGCATGGCCAGGACTGCAATTGGTTTGTGCACAAAAAAAATTGTGTACAATGAATGGCGGTCGAATAACAGGCACAGAGAGCGATCGCTGTCAACTACTCGTTTTAGCCGGCTGCGCTGGCTGTTGGCGCATGACGTCACGCGGAAGCGTAACACCCGATGACTGTTTCATGCACTATTGGTTGCGGTTCCAGTACCAAAGCTGTGATGCGAGGGGTAAACCTCATATTAGTGCATGAAACAGTCATCGGGTGTTACGCTTCCGCGTGACGTCATGCCCCAACAGCCAGCGCAGCGGGCAAAACCGAGTAGTTGACAGCAATCGCTCTCTGTGCCTGTTAATCGACCGCCATTCATTGTACACAATTTTTTTTGTGCACAAACCAATTGCGGTCCTGGCCATGCCAGCAAGGTTGTCAGGTTAGCGGTTATTCCTCCTGTTTTCACTGCAATTGTAGGCTGAATCTTCATCGTGGATCGTTTTTTACTTCAAGGACCTGTGTAATGGTTATTCCAGGCAAGTTTGGGGTGAGTTGCAGTTGCAATTAGTGTGTAACGGGGACAAAATTGAACATTTTCCAAAATTTTTTGCCTATACTACAAGTTACGAGAAAAACTCGCTCCAGCCCTAGATGACAACCCAATGATAAAACTCAGGGCTGGGTAACTCCAGCTACCCTTTCTCCACAATAGTGTTGGTTTTAAATGTTGCTAGCTACTGGTTTGGTAAGTCCAATAAACTAACAGTGGATTTTTGTTCTCTTAGGAACAGCACTTGCCAGTTACTACACAATCACCAAATTAATTTTCCTGTTATATTTACCATTTAGATGCCAGCTTGAGACCTCTACATGCTGCTAAAGTTACAGGAGAAAGCAAGTGAGTAGTCAGTATTTTCCACTCACAACAAGACCAGAATTTATTCTGAGATCACATTACATGGATAAAGATTAAAATCACTATCGTTAACCTGAGAGTTTACCCCACAGCGAAAAAGACCAGGAACCAAAATATGACCAAAATATACAGCAATATTGCTCAGATTTCTGTAAACACATGGCACAACCTGCTTTCATAGATGTCAAGAACTGTTTTATTTGTGTAACGTTAAGTTATGGTAGAAAAGTGTAGGGGTCTACAGCTGTCAAAGAGATTCTAGTTTTCTGTTCTGATCAGTTTTTGGTTGAGTTACTGTAAGGCGAAGTAAAAAAAAACCCATGTTTCTCGTCCCCGCCCACTTCCTTTTTGGAGGCCGCCTGGATTTTTTTATTATTTTTTATTTTTGAAAAATGCAGTAAAAAAACACCGAAAAAGTCCACAAATTCATCGGAAAATAAATTGTAGATCAAAACAAGTCTAAATGACACTGTAAATATGTTCAGTTCTCTTGTCCAACTTGTCTTTCATTTTAAAAGTGTCTTTGAACAGTGGAAACACCAACGGTTGCAGGAAATTTTTAAATGGTGGCCATCTTGAAACAAATAAAAAATAAAAAATAAAAAGCCCCGCTTCCTCCTTTTTTTCAAAAACCCGGACGAGAAACATGTTTTTTTTTTATTCGGCCTAATTGTTTTTCTGACAAATCTCTGACATTTTTGCACAAATAACTTAGACTCCCCAACTTGATCACATTCAGGCTTGATCTCATGTTATTTTCTTTAAAAAGGAAATTTAAGGGGCCAAATTGCCTTGGAATTTTATCACAGTTTATTTCAATGCCACATATTGATTTTTGTGATCATCTTTTGGCTTCCAACTTGCCAACATTTCTGAGAGATATGAATTTTGTTTGGTTGTTTTGCTCCATAGCATGGACGTGTCTAGCAGAGCAGTGGAATTAAAGAAGACGCTGAAAAAGTGGGAGAAAGCGTTTCACGACACCCACGATAGAAAAGCAAGCAGATTAGATATTAAAGAGGCACCACAGCGAGTACAAGGTAATACAATTCCACAAACAAATAAGGGATTGTTAGGGACTAATTTCCTGACAATAGAGTGAATTTAGCAGGTTGCGTTTTTTTTTCATCTTCAGTATTGATAAGACAGTCTTACGGGTACCCGTCCACCTGTGTTTTACTTCAACAGCGTACCCGATTCCAGTATTACCTGTAAATGCCCACAACTATCTTGGACTAGTAAAAATGGATTGTGGCCAAATTGTGTCCAGAAAGTCGCTTAATATTGAAAAAGATCGAAGCCCACTCCACATGTTGGCGCAGGGCTGGATTCCAACCTGGGTCACAGCGATGGAAGGCAAGGAAAGTACTGCTATCCCAACGTTATCCCCTTTTACTCTAATAAATATTGTCAGTATATACAAAAGTCTTTACGTTTCTGATCAGATGCTTACAGAGAATACAATGATCTCAAGAAAACGGGTGATGGATCGTCAGTGCCCACAGTCACAGAGGACAAAACAGAGAAGATATCCAGCGGCACCTGGGGTGCTCATCTCAATCAGTCTAACAAGAGTACTGCAGACAAGCAATCCGAGGCAGGAAGCAAGCATGAACAAGGCAACATACTGCGCCAGTACAGTAGGAAACTGCAACACTCGACGAGTGCATCTAAGGTGATTCTACATTTTTGAATAATTTAATATCCGGTTCGTTAGTAAAAATATCATACATGCGCGCACCACTGATTACCAGCGCCCATTGGATAGACACGTACGTTGCTGCCAGTTCCAATGGTTCCAATGCTACTTAATGGGCAGTGGGCGTGGTTTAAACTGAACTGACGTCACACTAACAAACCGGATTCAATCAGGCAAACTTGGAATCAATTCGAAATGCCGTTGATTATGTTTTTTATGTGCCAACCTAAGTTGCTTGTGCCGGTTGCAATTGCATTAGCAAGTCAGGAACCGGTGGACATTTGCGTGACCAAGAAGTAAATTTTCGCCAATTAGACTTAGTGTGCGCCAGACGAAAATTGACAATGTGCTTTAACATCATGTATGCATCAATATTTTTTTCAAGGGAGCTGAGTAGTCGATATTTGAATATGCTTAGTTTATCAAAATTCCTGCTACCTCTGCAGCTCCCAAAAACGCCATCCTACAGACGAGCAGGCTCTGGGTCAGATGCGTCCAAGACGTCTCCCAAGGATGCTTTCCAGGCTAGCATCCCTGACGATGACCCGAGCTCTAAGGAGGATGTCATCACCCAAAAGTCTACAGGGAGTATCTTCAGTTGTCTGCGCGACACCAAGATCGCTGTCACCAGCTCCTGTAAGAAGGCCAAGCTCCGGAGAGACGATGTCGCGGTCGGCATGCTCCGTGCGAAACCTCCCAAGAAGCAGTCTTTGAAAACAGAATGGTTGGACAACTGTGAACAGGATCTCCTGGTAGGAGTTAAGGGTCTACCTGCGCAGGACTCTGAAAGCACGCCGCATCGAGGAACTGTGGGTAATCATGCCAAAACTAATCAAGAAAACCAAGAGAATATTTGGGATGGCGAGTCGTCCAAAAAACCGGGGCATAAACTTGATGATGCATCAAAACCCACACCAAGTTCATCCCTATTGACATCGGACTACTCGGTTGCACATGGAGCTAACAGAGGTAACAGCTTTAGTATTAAAAGCTCTTCTGAGTCTGAAAAACTTCATACACCTAAGAACTCGGGCAGTAGGTCAAAAACTGCGTCAGTGGCTGGTGTGAAGATGGATGTTAATGATGATCTAGGTACGAAACAATCGTTTCGTTCCAGAGCTGACTGTGAGATTCCTGAAAGAAGCGATCCGGACAATTCAGTCATGAGAGAATGCAAAGCTTCACCTGGAGAGGTTGCCATGGAAATCAGAGAACGTACGGTTTCCAATGGAAGTATCAAAGCGACCGGTTCACCAAAAACGTCAATTTCTCCACTTTCAAATGTACCAAATATGAAAAGATCCGAAAGTCCATCGGTCAGAACACCCAGACAAATTTCTGACAACCCTGCAACCAAACTCATGACACATGGAAGAGATATTGTCACCAAGGCACAACATGAAGACAGTCATCACAAAGAATCTTCATTCAGGGAGGATGATGACGACTCCAATTTGTGTCGGAAACCTAAACCAGGTATTATTGGAAATTTACAAGAAGTGAGCGAGCTAGATGCCTTGAGAAACGAAGAGGACACAATGAAGAAAGAGCAAGGGGAATACACAGGCGTGGATGGTGCAACCTTAGAAAAGAAGAGCGTGCGATCCAAGAAAATTGCTTCTTCTACGTCCAGGTAATATGAAATACAGGACAGATAAATATTTTTCAATTTTCAGGTTTTTTTAAGGAGCCTTTTTGCCGCAATTGCTGTGAAATACAAATGTGAAAGTCCAAGTTTTATTTGAAAAACTGTTTGTTCTCAGCGATAGTTGGGTCCAAATCATCGTAGGTACTGATACGAAACTCTTCTTTTCTTGAGAATGACAGCATACATGTAGCAGGCACTATGATTTCACAGATTACTTATTGTGTGCTATTATTTACTTACAATCATGTAGGCTGTTTCATAATGTTATGGCAGTTTGGTTTTGAATGTTTGCCAATGGGGTCCATAATTTTTCATTTTCACAGAACGTCCTCTTCGTCAGCTACAGCTCCCGCACGATCCAACCTGAACGAGAACTTTGTCAAACTGGAGATGAAGAAGAAGAGGTACACTCGCAAGGGGCTGTTCCACATGAAGGGGGAGGCCTACAAGCGTCAGGTGTGGAAGCAGAAGATGGCAGGAGGCGGGGGACTGGGCTTATCAGGGCGGGGCGGGTGGAGGGGAGGAGGGCGTGGTGGTAGAGGGAGGGGCAGGGGAGGATTCAACATGGCCAACCCGACAGACAAGTGCTTCAAGTGCGGACAGACGGGCCACTGGGCCAGCAGGTGCATGGGTGAGATTGTCTTTTATCTTCTCTTGGATTTCGGCCGTTGCATAACAAACCCCCTCCCAGTTTCATTTGACTGATTGAGATTTGAATTTAATACTCCTTGCAATGGTCACTTCACGCTGAATTACTTGTAGTGCAGTGATTTTTTCTATAATTTAGTATTCGGTTATTCTAATTTGGACTTAAATTGATCGAATATTCAAGTTTTCGAAATGTGCAGATCAAGTTTATGCTTCCCGAAACTAGCTGCCAATCAGAGTTTGCGTGTGCCTGGGCTTGTCAAAAATTGACAAAGAGCCTGTAAAAATAACAGTCAGTACAGTAAAATTTTCAGTCGCTACCCCATAACTGGCGTCACCTCAAACGTATTAAAGTTACGCCATCATTTGTTGCGTAAGTCGGTGATTTATGCACTGTGAAGTTTGCATGAATTGTGTCATAATTCAAATAATGCGCAACTTGAACTGCGTTGCACTGTAAACTGTTGCACAACTTACGCAATAAAACTAAAGTAAGTGGAGTAAACTTTCAAATGTGAAAGCATTTTGATGTCAAGAAACACATTGAGTGAAATTTGCCCTGGTTAAATGTTACCAGTTTTGCCATCACAAATTGTGAGATTGCCTGATTGTATGTTTGCTGTCATGATGTCTGGAATCCAATTTTATTAAGTGTTAAACCTAGATAAAATTTAACAAATTCTTTGTGTTGATCACTTTAATTTTAGGTTTCCAGCCAGGTGCTGGAGATGACAAAAAAGCAGAGATTAAGGAAGAAGATTTTCCGACACTAGAAGAAGCAGCGATGGCCGCCCGTGGCATCAAGAGTACCCCGGGTAAGAGCAAGTAATAAAATTGTCTTACAGAAAAATATTCAAATCATCTTATTCCTCGGATCAGTCTTACAATAGACCTTATGCGTTAAGGCAGAGTCAGAGAGCGATGGTTTCGTTTCGCTTGGACAAACATGAGTAAACCTTTGTGCATTCATTGTGACTAAATTCAAAACAAAACAAAAACAAAGAACATCCTCTGAGACACCGCAATGCATAAGGTCTATATTCTAAAAAAAATGTATGTCAGAATTTCTGTTTAGAGCAGACCTCCATATAAGGAGTTGTTCACGACAACTCGCGAGAGGCACATACCATAACATAGTTAGAGGAGTGTTTCAAAAAAACATGAAGTAAAATTGTTGAACAAAATCGTTGGAAATTTATATTTTTTTATTTATTTTGACACTCTGACCGAAAAGGTATTTATGAATGGGAATAAATATGTGCTTGGCCTGTACTTGTCCATTTAAGATCGGCTGGGGACCTGGTTGCTAATAATATCCCTCACCTTCGGCTCAGGCCATTATCAGTGTCCATTTAAGCCGGTCTGAAACGAACTTGTTAAAAACCGGCCAAGCACACATTTATTCTCTTAGTAAAGGTACTAAACTGCTTGAATGAATGGGTTTGTTTGTACCCAGGAAATGCTGCCCTTACAGCACTCGTTCACTAAAAAATGTAGCCTGTTGAAGTCTGCCTGCCTTGTTTTCTTGTACAGATGGAGAGAAAGATGCAGGCAGTGTTGATGTCGTTCCTGATGCCAATGTAGAGACAGTCTTTGACTTCCCTCCACCGCCACCTCCCATAGAACCACTCCTGCAGCTCAACTCAGACGGAAAACCTGGTGGTAAGATTTGCTGTTGTGTATACAGCGTGTTCATTAACTCATTGATGCCATGCTCAAAATGTGCATGCTTCTGTGTAGTGTCCCAATGATTGCACATGCAGACTGTCAACTTCAACTTTGCACAGAACCGTATGCGTATGTGGTATGTTTGCACAACACATAGTAAAATACGGGTCTCACTTCATACTTAAACATTCTACTGAAAAAGTTGTGTTTTTTTATACAAATGCTAAAATAATATGCAAATGCTTTATAAGATGATGAGGTCATTGATTTGAACTAATTACATGCCAAATGATTACTTCAAGAAATGAGGCATACAAACTATTTTATTCTAACACTAACAGTCATGATATTTTTGATGAAACTGAATTTTAAGAAAATTCTAAAAAATTGCCAGCTGCTTAGATTTATACCTGAATATTGATGCCTAATGTATCATAAAGTACAAGTATTCAAGAGAGACTGTTTATTGAATTCATTTATACAGAGGCCCCGTCGTGTGTCTACAAAGCCTTGAAGCAGATGGGTTACAGTAGCTTCCGGCCGGGCCAGGAGCAAGCCGTCATGAGAATCCTCTCAGGTAGGGAACTCAGTTCTTACTCAACTAGTATTAACCCGAACAGAACTCAACCATTTAACCCCAACGGCATGT